GGACCCCCGATACCACCTTCTGTGTCGGCTGTGCGTGCAGCGCAGCGGTCACTGAACGTCCAGCTTGCGCAGGGTGCTACTCGGCTTCCTGAACCTACGTATCTAAGGCCCGTAACCAATGCCTATAATCAGTTCCAGCCCGTTCCGGTGGCCCAACAAGAGGTCTGGTATGGGCCAGACGAAGAACAGATTCGCGCATTCACCACTGGGCAGAACATTCCTGCAACCACAACATCGTCTCCTATAACGCCCTTTGATGGACCGGAAAACCTTGTAGAAGAGAGTCAAGACTGGTGGTCTCGTGAACCGAGCGCCATGACTTTCGGAATGGATCATTGGGTACCAGGATGGAACCCTAGTATATCTGGCAGAGAATCCGATATGCGGTTCGGAAACCATTACGCCAACGTTGGGCAGACATCAGGAGCCGAGAATAGCTCTCGACCAACCCCAGCAATGAGGTTTGGGGCCCCTCCAGGGAGTGCTAATCCAGGGCAGCACCCGGACATGCCTGGTTACACCGGCGTGTGATTGCTGGGACGATTGAAGGGCGATGATGCTGTTGCAGTCCTTGGCAACACAAGTTGCACCACGTGGTGCTTTTAGATCAAAAATTGATCACGATGTTACGATAAGTTTGGCATATGTGCCTGAACTAATGTTTGTCTTGTGCTATCTGCTTCGCCTTTCCTGGATATCTGGATCATCCGTGGATGCTGGCATACGGGTTTCCATTTTAGGCTTCTAGTATAGTTCATTTGGAGATGGACATCATACCATACCCTTTCGGGCGATTATTAAAACTCGCAGTTCAACTAAAATAGAGAAAGGGAAAAAAAATCAATACAACAGGATTAGCGTTGATCCTAACTACATTAAAATCTCCACAAGAGCCCCTCACTCGTCCGGGAGGGCATCAGGTTAAGTAGTAGTAACCTCGGATGCCCAAACCCAACCAGCATGAAAACCCGAAGTATACCTACCTACCCATAGCTACCTAACCCAGTGAGAAGTGTAAAAGACCCTCAATCAAATGAATTCGTTCAACCCGATCAAACACTTGAATAAAAAGACAAAAAAGAAGCAATCATAACCCAAATGCTAACAGGGATGGATGATGCACACATACACACACACATACAAAGACCGTCCGTCAATCCATTTGCCCGCAAGAAAAAACACAAACGCAACAGTAGATAAGTAGAAAAGAAAGCAAGAAAGATAAATTCTTCGAATCTGTATGTCAAAATGCAAGCAAGTATGCACGTATCATCAAGTTCAAGTTAAGTCTCCAGTAAACGGCGGTACCCACCAACAAGCACGAAACAACTACGACTGGATATCATAGTTGACGACGAGATGACGAAAAGAGGTAGAAGGAAGAAGCAAGACATGTTCATGCACAGGCCAGCCTATATAAATAGGAGATGCGAGGAATGAGGACGGAAGGACGAACGGCTGGTATGCATACATAGGAGGCGCAAACACAGACACAGACACATAAGCAGAACAGATGTAGAAGATAAAGGGGCATGAAAAAAATGCATTCGTTCGTACGGCAAATGGTATCACAGGAAATAATCAGCAACAGGCTTCTTAGCAGGCATGCCTCTGGTATCCTGCGCCGCGGCCTCAAACACCCTATACCGTCTCCCGGGACTGCGGACGGCCGGTTTATTGGTCGATCCCAGGATACCATTACTCCTTCCATAGTCGCCATTGCTTCGGGCAACGGTGCCACCGTTGCTTGTATCTTCGCCTAGTTCCAGGATAGCGGCGACGTTGCCGCACCGGTAGCAGTAGTTAGGTGCGGACCAGACCGTTACGATCCCGCCGTCGAACATCTCCTTGTACCCTTCCATGACGAGTTGATGCGCGCGCGCGATCAGTGATAGGTCGTTTCGGTAGTTGAAGCGTTTGACGATGTCGCCGCCGAAGAGGAACCCCGCGCCGCGGGGACTGAGGCCCCAGCCGTCGATCTCGTCGGGGTCGGACCAGAGCAGGTCGCACATGGCGCCTTCGTGGGGCACTTCCTGTTTTCGGTCAATCAGGCGGATCTTGTCAACGGTGTCGATGGCCGGGGAGAGGCCGCCGTGCACGCAGAGCACGGCTCCCGTGCGGCTGCCGTAGCTTCCGCCGGCGTCGCCGGAGGCGCTTGTACCGGCAGCGCCGGAGCGGAAGGGGGGTTGGTTGGATGTGGCGGAGATGTCGCGGGGTGGGGAGATGGATGATGGGTCGGAGGAGGATTGCGGGCGGGGCCGGTAGGTGCTCATAGTGACTTCGCCTCTGGAGTTAAGGATTTCGGTCTCGAGTTCGTCATCGATCGGCATGGTGGATTGGGTAGTATCCATGCTGGGGCCGGTGGGCTCGAGCTCTGAGCTGGCGCCTAAGACGAGGGCCCCGAGCGCAAGGTAGTCGAAGACCTCGCAGCAGTATCGCCAGACGTTGGCGCTGCCGTATTTGCGGATGCACTCATCGTAGAATCCGTAGACGGTGGTGATTTGGCGCGACTCGTGATTGCCACGTATCAAGGTGATGCGGTCGGGGTATCGGACTTTGAGGCAGAGAAGGAGGAGGAAAGATTCGAGGGAGTAGAATCCGCGATCGACGAAGTCACCCATGAATAGGTAGTTGGTGTCCGGGACGTCGCCGCCCACGCGGAACAGTTCCATCAAGTCATGGAACTGGCCATGGATGTCGCCGCAGATTGTGACGGGCGCGTCGACGCAGACTACGTTTCCTTCTTCGATTAGGAGCTCGCGCGCCTTGTAGCAGAGTTCGCGGACCTGGGCTTCGGGTATCAAACGACAAGCGCGTAATTGCGCGATCGCCCTACGCGACGAAAAGCGGGAGGTTAGCTCATCCTGGCCTAAGGGGAGAGGAAGAGGGTAAGAGGGGCGGGAAGGGAGGGAATACCGGTCAAGGTCGCTCATGGTGCTCGAGCGCAGCAGGAGATAATCGGAATGAGCAGCTGAGTTGGAGCAGGGAGCAGGGAGGGTGGGTCCTGACGGCAGAAGAATGGAGGAGGCAGTTGAGTCAATGCCGGTGGGGAGGGGCGCACGATGGATGAAGGAGAGAACCGCTAAGCGCAGAAAAACAGAACGCTCATTTTCTCGTCTAATGCAGTGCTCGACTGAAGCAGAGCGAGAACGGGCGAGATGGGAGGAGGGAGGGGAGGGGGCAGAAGAGTGGAGGCAGAGGTGAGAGAGGTGGGCGATGGCAGCTCAGGCGGTTTCCCTTCAGTTTCCAGTTTGCACCTCGCCGCTGTCCTCCCTCGCCAATCACAGGCGTCTAAGATAAGATTAGATCTGATCGCCAAGACTAGACCGAATCTGTTCATTTCGGGAAATTAGTAGCCTGAATTCGCTGCCTCAGTTCCCTTCCCAATCCAGTCTCCCCATCATAACTTCTCTCCCCTCCCCGGCTTCCCCGGTCGTCCTTCTATCGCCGCCCCCCCCGCTATCCATTGGTGAGGCCATGCTATGATTGGGGCGTCCTACCTTGCCTGTCATTAAGTTTTTGTGCTTTGGTTGCTACAAGGTTGGACTATTCCTTTCTTTTGCATTGTTCTTTTACACCGAAACTAACGCATGCCCGCGGCCTAGTGAACGCATCGTCGTTACCGTCACCCTCCGCTCCGCATAAATCTTCTCCTTAATTGCTCACATCCACATTTCAACATGCCGCCGCATCTACATCCCCGGTCACGGTCAACGTCCTCCCTCTTCGCCGGGACGCTCCTGGCTTCCTTGGTCGTCGTCGGCCTACCACATGTCTTTCCCTGTCCCGCCCCGCGTCGCACATTCGCCGATTCTGAGATGATAATGTCGGCAGATGGGCAACCTATCCAGAGAATCCGCAGACGACGTCGGAAAGACGAAGAACTCCTTGGCCAGGATGGCAATCCGCTCGGCCAGACGCAGCCTGCAGCCGATGAAGAGGTGTCTACGTTCCTACAATTGGAAGAAGAAGCACAGAGATTGGCCAAGGCAGGCCACGAGTGTCCTGTTCCCAAGCCTCGAGGGATTCTGGGCGAATTGCTGGGTTTTACGAATAGTGGAGGTATTTCGACATCAACGACGACACAGGCACAACAGGTTGGAGAGGGTCGGTAACCGACAATTGGAAAGCAAGGAGGACTCAATCAAGGCTAAAATAGGCTTTGAGCATGTACAGCGTGAAGGAACTGTGGATTATATCACGAAATAAGCCATGAGGCAGTCGTGTTGGCTTCGACGGAGGTTGGCTTCGGAAATTTTCGGCCGGGCACCAAATCCGACCCATGGCAGCAATATACCCATCTTTGTATCGATAGTGTACTTACAAAAACTGTCTACTATATGATTATGCATATGCGATTAAATACAACTCTCAATTGATGCACAATTCGCCTCAACTTCTATGGTAACGAACCCACCTGTTCTGCAGACATGCGGCCGCGCGGTCTGTGTGTGTCCATGAACGCTAATCCCAAACGGGACAGCTCTCATTGGCTCTCCGGCACGAAGAGGCCACCCGACATCTACAGCTGTAGAAGAAAGTAGCTGGTTCAACAACCGCATGCAAGATGGACTGGATGCGCCTAATTCGCGATTTGTGTTTCAATCCCCGACACACAAAATGGATGGCTCCGCTCCTGGTCCTGGGTGACGCTTTCCTCTGCGCGCTGATCATCTGGAAAGTGCCCTGTAAGGCTACAGCTAAGCTCCGTTCACACCCTTTTGCGACAAGTGAAGCAATGCCACTAACCTAGCCCCGTTGCTATTGTCCACAGATACCGAGATTGACTGGGCCACGTACATGCAACAAATATCGCTTTATTTGTCAGGAGAACGCGATTATACTCTCATCAGAGGATCAACCGGTCCCCTTGTCTACCCGGCCGCCCATGTATACAGTTATACGGCCCTCTACCATCTCACCGATGAGGGGCGCGATATTTTCTTCGGTCAGATACTATTTGCTGTGCTCTACTTGATCACGCTGGTGGTTGTGCTGTGCTGTTATAGACAGTCGGGTGCTCCGCCGTACTTGCTTCCGCTGCTGGTCCTTTCCAAGAGACTTCACAGCGTTTATGTCCTGCGTCTGTTCAATGATGGCTTGGCGGCGCTGGCGATGTGGGTTGCCATTCTGTTATTCATGAATCGGAAGTGGACGGCTGCGGTCGCAGTGTGGTCTACTGGTGTTGCGATTAAGATGACACTGTTGCTGCTGGCCCCGGCTATTGCTGTGGTCACGGTGCTTAGTCTGTCGCTTGGTCCTAGCGTGGGGCTGGGGGTTCTGGCGGTGCTTGTCCAGGTAGGTTCCCATGAGGCTGTAGGGTTGGCCAAAGGCAATTTGTGTGAAGACTTGTCTGACATTGAACTACAGGTTTTACTCGCGATACCGTTCCTACAAAACAACCCGGCGGGGTATCTCTCGCGGGCGTTCGAGCTAACCAGACAGTTCATGTTTAAATGGACAGTCAATTGGAGATTTGTTGGCGAAGAAGTATTCTTATCTAAGAGCTTTTCCCTGGCATTGCTGGCCGTCCACATTGTGCTGCTAGGCGCTTTTGCCGTCACTGGTTGGCTGAGATACTCCAGGTCTAGCTTGCCTGCGTTCATTCGGAATCTGCTAGCGGGTCGACATCGCACAGTGTCCCTCCCCAAACCCTACATCATGAGCGTGATGCTCTCGTCTCTGACAGTTGGCTTGTTGTGCGCAAGGTCCCTTCATTACCAATTCTTCGCCTACCTCTCCTGGGCGACACCCTTCCTCCTCTGGCGCGCAGGGTTTCATCCAATCTTGCTGTACCTTATCTGGGCTATGCAAGAGTGGGCTTGGAACACATTCCCCAGCACCAACCTCAGTTCCATCATTGTTGTCCTCTCACTTGCTACCCAGAGTTTCGGCGTCCTTGCGAATAGTGCCAGCGCCTTTTATACCATGCGTTCGAACCCTAGCGGTAAAGAGCATAACCAATAGAAGTGACACCCGGCCAGTATCGAGATCGGGCTGTGACAGGTGCATCGATAATCGCAATCAGTCTTGTACCCATGAGAATCCCTGAAAAAGTAAGACTGCTCTGTCAGGTAGTCCATTGCCCATGCGATAGGTTCGGACGCCTAAAGGATCAATCAAGATGCCAATCAAGCATCCGACTCATCGGAAGAAGGCATCTTGCCGACATTGGACTCATCCTCTTCGTCCGAGTCGTCGGCGACAACAGCAGCTTGCTTAGCGAACTCCTTTGGCCTGCAGAGGGATCAGTAGTAGCCCCAGGCACCGCGATTGAGGGATCCACTCACCAAAACGGGGCTTTGCGCCACGCTTTCTCATCACGAACGATGTTGACTATTTCTCCCTTGAGCTTGTTGTCGCGGCCCTCAAGAGCATTGGTATCGATGACCACGTAGGAACCCCGCTTGATCCAGATGGTCGATCGGAAGCGGGCAGGGAGCTCCACCAAAACCGACTCCTTCGAGGGAAGTTCCACCGAGTAGATGTTGTTTCCGGTCGCCTTGATAGCCCGGGCAATTAGATGGCCCTGAGACAGCTCATCCGGCGGGAACATGGTCTCTTCCGCCGTAGCGAGAACCTTGCGCCTAGGGGGACCCATTTCTAACGTATACGCAAGTGGTTCAGCGGGAAGTAGTGTCGATCTAAATTGGGATGAACACCAAAGAGACTGAAGAAAGAGTGAGCAAAATGCGAGAAACCGTCGACTGCGGAGAGTTTTACTCGAATGAAGAAATTCGGGCGGCAGAAAATCCCCGGTGGGGAGTGTGGGTCCCCCATCCGCTTCTTTGCCAATCTCGCTCTCTCTCTTCTCTCATCTCCGCCATCTACGGAGTAGAGCTCCAGTACTACTATCTACTTACGGCCGTGCTCATATCCATTGGTTGTGAGGAATGTGGCATCTTAGTTGGCTACACAGTGCACTACACAATCCATCGAATCAAGGTCTTCCTGGCGAGTCAGTTCCCCTGCACAATGTTTGGCCTAAGGCGGACATCTAGACCACTTGACCTCGTGTTTTTGGGCCCTTCTGCCGGCATTTGGAGTGGATGTATCATATCGTGAAACTTGCATGTGTCTGATTGGCTTCCGGCTTTTATCTCTTTGAACTTCGCTCACTGGTGGGGTTCGCGGAGTGATATTCCGCTCAAGCTAATTCACCTCCATGGATATTAATAATGACCCCGACACGTTGGGGATCCCCAAACCTCCGTAAAAGAATCGTTTATCCTGGGGTCTCGGACAGATTTCGTACTACAAACCTCTCACGAACATCTCCTCTTCATTGGATACGCCACTGAAGATGTCGCTCTCAGCTTTGGGCACTCTAGTGGACATCCAGAGCCCGCCATTAATAACGAGTCCTGCGGCGGCGGTGCGCAAGGATAAGCAAGGGATTGCTTATGCTCCATCGGACCATGAACTAGAAGGCCTTCAGCGACGCAGTCAACAGACCGCTGATATCTCCTCTCAGCAGACCCTGGGTTCGCAGACACCCGTGAGCCCTGGTGAGTTGGAGAGCCATCCCACTTCGCCGGGAGAGGAAGCTGTGGACTCCATTCCCGCAATACAGAGTCCACCAAGACTAAAGGCGGCTGTTGAGTGCCTGCTTGATGAACTTCGCCGGGGGACTGAACGACAGCGCACCTGGGGCCCTCATCCCATACATGGAGAAAGACTACAATATTGGATATGCTATCGTGTCGCTGATCTTTGTAACGAATGCGTTGGGATTCATTCTTGCTGCCCCTTTGGTTCATGCGCTGGAAATGAAGCTTGGCCGGTCGAAGACTTATTCTTTGTCAACAAGCTTGATAACCGCTGGTTATGTCATCATCATCTGCAAGCCACCCTTCCCTGCCGTCGTGGCCAGTTTCTTTCTATTAGGCCTCGGCATGGCCATCAACCTAGCCTTGAATAATGTCTTTTGCGCGAACCTTGTGAATAGCACTGCAGCCTTGGGTGGTCTCCATGGTGCTTATGGCTTGGGCGGCATCATAGCACCACTTGTGGCGACGGCTTTGGCATCTCATGGGGTCCAATGGTCCTACTTCTACAGTATCAACCTCGCCATGTCGCTGATCAACCTGGTGTTCTCCGCTTGGGCGTTCCAGAAATATGAAAAGGACTTCCCAACACAGTTATTGACGGCGCTCCACCGTACCACTTCTCAGCAAACGCCTGGCCCAACCCAAGCGGCCAGACCACACCTTCTGAAGCAAGCACTGAAGAGTCGACCCACTCTCCTTGGGGCTCTATTTATCTTCGCCTACCAAGGGGCAGAAGTGTCGATTTCAGGCTGGGTTGTCTCGTTCCTCATCAATTATCGTCATGGGGACCCCTCAAGGGTTGGCTACGTTAGTGCCGGGTTCTGGGCTGGCATTACTGTTGGACGGTTCGTCCTGTCGCATCCCGCCCACCTAGTCGGGGAGAAGCTATCCGTCATCCTACTGGTGCTCGGGTCAGTTGCCTTCCAGCTCATGACTTGGTTCATTCCCAACATCATCGGGGACGCCGTGGCCGTGGCCGTAGTGGGTCTGCTACTGGGACCAGTGTATCCTTGCGCCACGGTAGTGTTCAGCAAGCTACTGCCGCGCTCGATGCAGACGTCCAGTCTGAGCATTATCAGCGCCATGGGAAGCAGTGGGGGAGCTGTGTCGCCGTTCTTCACCGGGCTTCTAGCTCAAACGGTGAGCACGTACGTCTTGCATCCGATATGCATTGGACTGTACGGTGTAATGCTCGTGGGGTGGCTGTCTCTTCCTCGTATGTCGAAGAGATCCGAGTAAATCAGTTCGTCATCCTGCAGGGTGCAGTCACGATTTGTCATCTGGCGTCACGCTTCAGGCCAAAAGTTCATTGTAGTATGCTTTCCCCTTCGCATCTGATCCCCGTAACTCTTCCCTACCGCTCGGGGATGTTCTCTCTTTTCTGTTGTTTGGGGCTGTTCACTTGTTGCCTTTCCCATTTCTTTTTCGCGGGGTCTTCGTGTGTCTCTCCAGGTGCATCTTCCTCCCCAATCGCAGGACTCCAGGCTAGTAAGGCAGCCATCGACGGATGATCCGACGGCACATGACCTGCAACCAGTCTGGTGCAGACTTGGGAGTGCGTTGAAGCAAGGGGCGGTAGAATCCCCAGCAAACCCCTCATCCAGGCGACAGGAGGAGGGGAGGGGAAGGTGGACCTCGACCCTTTTGTAGACGTCATTCACGGCGACTGTGGCTGTGGGTTTAAGGGGATCATAGATCTCGGTTGCCAAGTGGGAGACAATACTTTGATGGGGGAGGAACCCAGCAGCAGCCATGGAAACAAACAATTTAGTGCCTTTTTTGCCTTTTTTTAGTTTGAAAATGTTGCTTTTTTAAAAAAAAAGGCAGGTGAGAGGAAACGGTCAATAAGTGGACACACCCGAAGGTGGGCACGCAGGAAGGAAGATCAGGCCAAGTCCATCAACACCACGGCAGGGTTGATGGTAGGAGGGGGCCCGAAAAGACAGGGAACACGACGTTATAGTTTAACGGTAGTTTATCTCGCATCACCCGAGAAGAAAGATCGGATGATTGGGCCCGAATTGCGTGCCTGGGCTGAAGGACTAGTTGTTGTTGGGGTTGACTTTGGATGTTCCTCTGGCAAATGCTAATTAATCTCCGTGCAAGATGAAACGAATCATCCATGGATGGCCAGAGACCCTGTGCGGAACAAGCCCCAGTCTAGTCAGTCAGTCAGTCAGTAGGGCAAGAAGGAAGGTTGATTTAATTGCATCATTCCCGGCCGTGTTGTTGCCCCGATGGTCGATCCAGAGATCAGTCCATCAATTATGGGGAAAGAACAGCAACGCGGATTGACTTTTTTTGGCCTGATCCGTTACCAAGTCTATCGCATTCCGAACCCGCGACTGCCTGCCTGAAGGAGCAGAAACGTGAATGTGAGTGTGAGTGTGAGTGACTATGGCGGGCGGTAAGGAAACAGAAAGGATTGAACAGGAAAAACATAATAAAACGAAGATGAACGCAGGTTTGTAGTCAGTTTTCTTCTTTTCTCCTACCTTCTACTCGTCGTCTTCTTTTTTCTCTCTTCTTCTCTTCGTAGTGAAACCGAATACTCCAGTTTGGTACTGGGATTCCCTCCCGTTCCTCGTTTCCCATAAACCCACTGCCTCAGCCACAGGTGGAATTTAGACACCACGAGAGAAGAGGGTCTGAGCCGTCAAAGCCCATCGCCACGGGCCCAACTTGTCTCACGTTTTCCGAGTGGCTTAAACCCTGCTGGACTTTCTTGCCTTGCCTGCCTTTGAGCTGACTTGACCTGACATCCCGTCGTCGCGATCGATCGGATTCCCCCTCCCTGCAACTAACTGTCAACAAGAGCCCCGCGACGCCTGTTGTTGTTGTTGCTGTTGCTGTTGCTTTTCTTCTTTCTGCCTTCTTCTCCGTAACCTCACCACCACAACAAACTTCCTTCCCCCGATCGTCGGCCATTTCCCATCCTCATCCCTCTTCCCCCCCCCTCCTCTCCCCTCCCCCTTCCCTGTCTCTCTCTCTTCCTCACTCTCCCCACCCTTCCCCTGCAACTTATCTAGCTACTTCCTCTACTTTCTTTCTTCTTCCCCCCGTCCCTTCTTCCCCCTTCTTTTTTTACGTATTCATAAGGGACCACACCCCACCTCCTCCCAACCCGCACCCCCCGGTCGCATTGCGTCGATCCCGTTCCATTCCCCTCGATTTTCCCATTGTCCGCGGACAACTCCTCACACCATGGACGGGGACGATCTCATCGCCTCGGTCTACCGCAAGATCGAGCGGGAAAAGGCTCTCATCACCGCCGCCTCGAATATGCGACAATCGACCGATAATCCCCTAGTGCAACAACGAGTCGATGCGAACATCCGCGATGGCCGAAAGAACATCGCCTACCTGGAGGAGAAGATGCGGGAGCTGCAGCTCCGTCGCATGGAGCACGAGGGTGGTGGCTCTCCCACCGATAAGCGTCTCCCGCCTAATCCTGAGGCTGGTCCCGTTCCTCCTCAGAAGGACTACGGCCCGGGTTATGGGGGTAACGAGGAATATGGTGATGCTTCCGGAGCCTACCCGCACGGTGGTGCTGGTTCTATGCCGTCAGGGGCCCCATATGCAGACCCGCGACCTTTCGCTCCCGTGCCCAAGGCCCGGCCCAATTACACAAAGCTTGGTATGTACTGTTCTGCAGCTGCTGGAGCTCAGGTCGCTCTCTGTTGCATTAGCTCTTCTCGGACTGACGTCGACCCTGTCCAGACCTGATTAAATATGACACCCAATATCTCGGACCCAAGATCCAGCTCATGCTGTCACAGCTCGAGTTCAAACTGAGTGTGGAAAAGCAGTACAAGGCGGGTATCGAAAAGATGGTTCGCTTATATCAGGATGAGGGTGATCGGAAGAGCCGTGCGGACGCCGAAGGCCGGCGGATTGAGAGTAACCAGAAGATTCAGTTGCTGAAGCAGGCCCTTAAGCGATATGAAGATCTCCATGTCGACATTGAATCGACAGATACTCCCGATGGTATGGAATCCTGCCATTGAGGCTTCCCTTCGCTCTCCCTGCCATGCCATGTTTCCCAACGTGCTAATAGTGTCTCCCTAGATGAGAGTTTAAGCACCCCCAATTTGCGCAAGCCGCTTACGGGTCTACTGACCCTCCGCATTCATGCCGTCAAGGACGTAGACCATGCCGCTAGCTCAAGGTTCTCCAGAGGTCCCGAAACGTTCATTGTGCTGAAGGTGGAGGATACCATCAAGGCTCGGACAAAAGCGACACGCATCGACAGGTGGCAGGACGAAACATTCAACATCGATATCGACAAGGCAAACGAGATCGAGCTTACGGTCTACGATAAGTCTGGTGACCGACCAACGCCGATTGGCATGCTCTGGGTGCGCATTTCCGACATCGCGGAAGAGATGCGTCGTAAGAAGATCGAGTCTGAGTTCAACGCATCGGGCTGGGTTTCTGCAGATAAGATGGAGCATGGAGGTGCGCCGGGACGACCGGATACTGCTGGGGGGGCAGGCTCTGCTCACCCATCAGGGCCTGGGGGCCCTGGTGCGGCGCCGAGTCAGGGCTACGGAGATGGAAGTGCCGGAGCGCCTGCTGGGAACCAGGTCATGATCGATTCGTGGTTCGCGCTGGAGCCAGTTGGTCGTATCTACCTGTCAATGAGTTTCGGTAGGTTTGGTCAAATGTTGCACTCCGATTGTACTGACGCAGCCTGTAGCCAAGCAATTGAAGGACCGCCGGCCATTCGATATCGGTCTCAACCGTCAGGGTGCAGTTCGTCAGAAGAAGGAGGAGGTTCACGAGAAGCAGGGCCACAAGTTCGTCACCCAGCAGTTCTACAACATCATGCGTTGCGCCCTCTGCGGCGACTTCCTCAAGTACGCTGCCGGTATGCAGTGCGCCGACTGCAAGTACACTTGCCACAAGAAGTGCTACCCGAAGGTTGTCACCAAGTGTATCAGCAAAGCAAACTATGAGACCGATCCCGACGAGGAAAAGATCAACCACCGCATTCCGCATCGCTTCGAGGGTTTCTCCAACATTTCCGCCAACTGGTGCTGTCACTGTGGTTATCTGCTTCCCTTTGGGCGGAAGAACGCCAAGCGATGTACAGGTATTTGGACTCCTCAGAGAATCCCTAAGGGACCTGCAGTGACGACGTATACTAACTGTTTGCAGAGTGTGGTCTTACTTGTCACTCGCATTGTACACATCTGGTGCCTGATTTCTGTGGTATGTCCATGGAGGCGGCCAACCAAATCTTGGAGACCCTGATCCGCACCAAGAACCATAACAAGACCGCCTCTGTAAGCTCTGGTCTTAGCGGCCGCACCCTGCGGCCCAGCGGCACACCCCAGGGCCCTCAGGACAGTGCGGCTATGGCCTACCCGCAGAAGCCTGTCGAGAGCCCGTACGGAGCACCTCAGCGCCAGCCTTCCGCTGAAGCTGTGAGCGCGGCTACCAACTCGTACATGCCTCCCCAGTCGCCGACAGCCGCTGCAAGGCAGCAGATGCCCCCGAGAACGTCGTCGAGTGCGGCTGTGGCTGCTGCCACTGTCGCGACGGGAATGCCCTCGCCCCAGCAAATGCCAGGTTCGTTCTAGTGCCCAGCGGCCTCATATATTGGATCGGATACTGACTCGAAATGTACAGCGGAGCAGAATCGCCCGATGCAGCCGCAGCTGCCTACCTATGACCCCAAGGCGTACGAGCCGTACGCCAATGCGCCGCAAGGCATGCCGCCTCAAGCGATACAGCATGCAGCTCCCGCCGGGTATGGCATGCCTGCACAGCAGCCGGCTATGCAGATGGTTTCACAGCAGCCTCCTGAGGCTCCTCAGCAGCCAAAGGTCCGGATTGGATTGGACCACTTCAATTTCCTGGCGGTTCTGGGTAAGGGTAACTTCGGAAAGGTCATGCTGGCAGAAACAAAGAGCACCAAGAGGCTTTACGCTATCAAGGTGCTGAAGAAGGAGTTCATCATCGAGAATGACGAAGTAGAAAGCACAAAGTCCGAGAAGCGAGTCTTCATGATCGCGAACAAGGAGCGTCACCCCTTCTTGCTGAACCTTCACGCCTGTTTCCAGACCGAGACGCGCGTTTACTTCGTCATGGAATACATTAGCGGTGGTGATCTGATGTTGCATATTCAGCGCGGCCAGTTTGGTCTCAAGCGGGCACAGTAAGTTATAGACGGACACGGTGATCAGAAGATAGTAGAGTTGCTGATGATTCTAGGTTCTACGCTGCGGAGGTCCTGCTAGCACTCAAGTATTTCCACGAGAACGGTGTCATTTACCGTGATTTGAAGCTCGACAACATCATGTTGACCCTGGACGGTCACATTAAGGTTGCTGATTACGGTCTTTGCAAGGAGAACATGTGGTATGGTGCGACCACGAGCACGTTCTGTGGTACTCCAGAATTCATGGCGCCGGAGGTGAGTACATTTCTTGTGATTCGTGTTTTCTCAGTACTAATGCTTTCAAAGATTCTTCTGGACAAGAGATACGGCCGTGCTGTTGATTGGTGGGCATTCGGTGTCCTCATTTACCAGATGCTTCTTCAGCAGTCTCCATTCCGTGGTGAAGATGAGGACGAAATATACGATGCTATTCTTGCCGATGAGCCCCTATACCCCATCCATATGCCTCGCGATTCGGTCTCGATTCTCCAGAAGCTCCTCACCCGTGAGCCGGAACTGCGTCTTGGCTCCGGACCTACCGATGCCCAAGAAGTCATGTCTCATGCGTTCTTCAGGAACATCAACTGGGATGACATCTACCACAAGCGGGTGCCCCCGCCGTTCTTGCCACAAATTAGCAGCCCTACCGATACTAGCAACTTCGACCAGGAGTTCACCAGCGTCACTCCTGTCCTTACACCCGTGCAATCAGGTAAGAGATCAATAGATTTCCCTGTCAGCCTGTCTTCCCCGCTAACTCAGTATCCAGTCCTCTCCCAGGCAATGCAGGAAGAGTTCCGCGGCTTCTCGTACACCGCGGACTTTGCGTAATTGCGTCGTCTTGAATGTCGTCCGGACTTTCTGTTGTTTAGTCGTTACCTCATGTCAACATTGGCACGATCTGATTCTCGGAATTCTTGATGCCGGCAGCTCGGCATATTTGCGCTCAAAGGATTCCCACATACCCATAAGAGTTTTGAGAGCTGGTGTTAGCGCTATGATGGCATTTGTGAATGTGGAATGAGGGGTTGATTGGGGAGTATTTTTTCTTTATATGTCTTCAGCATCTTAGGCTGTTTTTAATTCCTGTTGTTTTGCGGGCGAGTCCCCGTTCCTGGAATGTAATTCTGCTTCAGCGTTTCTCTCGACTCACTGTTTAATGCTGTATGACTGAATGGAAGACGCGGAACTGACGAGTGAAAGAATGCATCTGGAATAGCATATATATGTAGAGCTGCTCTCTGGAGTGACATGATCTAGATTTCTTTGTCAACTCAGTTGCGAAAGTCAAGATGCGGGGGGAAGGCACTAACCCGTCCTTTGTCACACTCAGTGACTGCAGTATTACTTCTCCCAAGTTTCAGGGTGGTCCATTGTTGTCCCCAGACCAGTGTGTTGTCTCGGTCTCCCAAACGGATCCCCTCTTCTGTTTGTTCTGTCCCGCTTTGTCCAACACTTCATCCCCAGCTCAACAAATCATCGTTGAATGGGGCTCTTCTTACAGAAGCGTTGATTATCTAGGACAAAGACATCATGTCTTCTTCTCAACTCCTCTTCGAGCTACTCTCCTCACTTCCACCTCAGAATATCTCCGGACCAACACCACTAGCCCCCGACACCGACCCCGACATAAACCTTACGGAGCTTGATTCGTCCGAGTTCAAGAGTTTCTTATCGACTGATCCGACCTCTTCATTCGTTTCGCCATCATTGTCGCCATCTTCGCCATTCTTGCCTTTGCATGGTGATCGCTTTGTTGTCCGAAGTGGATTCGTTAAGAAAGTGTCCACCGTGTTGCAGGGAGCGACAAAACGACGTAATAGCACCGGCGACAGTCTTGCCTCTTTGCTTCATACTTCAGGAAGTAACGCATATATGACTGTTCGTGCGCGATCAGTATCTCCGAGGGACTCTCCTGCTAATAGTAGCGGGCCGGTGCCGACAGAGCAGGATCCGGATTACATTCAGGAGCATATTAAGGTCGAAGAGGATGTTGAAGAGTTTGTTTCGGATGCGGATGAGGTTGATCCAAGTGAGCTGAAGATCGATCATGGTAAAAGATCTAGAAAGAAGAGGAGGGATATAGATGCTACATACATTCCGGGGAAAGATGACGATGAAGATGACACTTTCAACCCAGATTCAAATGGGATTGATCCCAGTGAGCTCATCGACAGGGTTGCGAAGAAGAACAGAAAGAGGAAACCTGGTGTGGATGCTACATACATGCCAGGGAAAGATGATGATGGTGATAGCAGTCAGGACAATGAAGCAACCGCCAGGGCTCCCAAGAAGAGAAGGGTGATACCAAACTCTGCATTAGTATCGTCTGTCAATGCCCGCCATCTGACTCCTGAGAAGCCGATAGAAACAGAGTTCCCCGTTACGCCGTCTGCTCAAATCGATCCTGTGTATCAACAGGGGATGACTCAGTTCCCACAAATTGATAATGGAACGACGGATCTAGGTGCAATCCCATATCCGACGCCGGATACTCTTCGAAAGAAAAGTACAACCAAAGCTGGAACGGCTTCGTCTGCGGTCCCTCATGCTCGCCATGTCCCGAAGAAGACTCCGAAAAAGGAAAATGAGGAGTACGTTCCAGGTGAAACTATGTTTCCCGAACCAGAGGCGACTCCGATAAAGTCTATCGAGGCCGAAAATGCAAATACAGCCTACTTGACCGAGGATGATAACGAAGAGTATCAAGACCGGCCCATCCATCATACTGAGAAGACAGGCATCGTCTTTGACTTTTCAGTAGAAAGAGCCAAGCGCTGGGCCAGCGCAATCAATGTGCCAAAGGGTCTCTTCAATGAGGAAGAAAAGGATTTGTTCTTTCGCCTTGCCATGCGCGGCTTTGAGCCGGTTGTCCCGAGAAGCTGGCGATATGACTTTCCGACACTGCCAGAATCTTTATATCCTAGGAGCTCCGAGGCGAGTGACAAGCCAATTATCGACGTCACTCGAAGCTCGAATCTCTACGGTGAGCTTTCATGGAACGTACTGCGTTGTGAGACAGATGCTAATGGTTATCCAGCTATCAAAGCCTTGACAAGTCTGTTTGCCGTCGGTGGCCGTGTCCGCGACTGTGACATTCTACTCCAACAACCCGAACCCTTGATCAAGCAAGCAATCCAGAAATACATCCACTGGGCTCTCTTTGACGTCGAGTTAGACACTATGCAAGATGCACTGCCAGTTCATGTGATATATGCTCAGAAGAAAGACGAAAAGACTATCAAAGCCGTCCGGAAGATGAACACAAAGCTCCAAAAGCTTACCCGGCGACACCAAGAAGAACTCGGCGTGACAATCAACAACGCTCCAGACAAGAAGGTGGCGAAGATACTGGAGGACACCAAATTTCCCCTTCTTACTGGGTTCATCATCTGCGGCCCCATCGTCGCCATCTTGACCCATAGTACTGATCCTCGAGAGATCGGTAACGGCGAAGAAGATGGTCGGTTCATCTCTCATTTTGACTTGTCGGAACGCGGTCAGGACGTGTGGAATTCCCTGGCTATTGCTATTACGGTGATGCATGTTCGTCGGACTATGTTGTCGCTGGCGCATCAGGGGAAGGGGAGTTATCAGCCTGGTCGGAAGCGTAGCGCTTTGGCATTTGATGTCGATCGTTAGATTTATCGTTGGTTTGATGGATATTTTGTATGTTATGAATTTGGGGCTTGCCTAGTTAGCGCGGTATGACTTGCAATGCATTTAGATAGTCCAGCCCCTTGTCCTGAATGATATGATAAATGACTGCATATTTACTAGTCTCATGAGATTGATTATGTACAAGCAGATAGATCGAACTGGGACACGGCCAATCTATGATAGAGAATTATAAGAGGTTCAGTCTGGGCTATACCCTCCAAAGGTACCACCATGATATTTCTATAGTAGTGAGTCATAGGACACGCGGGACGTACTCTTCCCACAAAAGCAACATAATTCACCTGACTCAAACCGCTACCGTCTGTACAAAGGCAGAGGATAGATGTTTGAATGCCTCATTAATCGCTCGGCGAACATCCTCATTGAATATCACGATATCCTCGTCTTCCTCCCCCTCCTCCAAGTCAACGAAGAAGGTCTCCGCGTACCATCCGAGTAAATCGGTGTATTTAGCACACAATAGAGACTCGGCTAACTACTTTAGGACTGCCATTGCATCTGTCATATCTAAGCAAACAACATCCGCTTGCTTCGCGCTTAGCCACCACCAGTAGGACTTGTCATCGTTGACGGCTACGGCTACTGTAACTATTCTCCTCGCCTAACAACGAGTAGGCAAACACCATGTCTTCCTTATCATGAGCTTAGCCTAAAGCTTAGATATAACTGTTATCTTTCAGAATGAAGAAATTCACCAGTTATAGTTTTTTTAAAGCCACGAAACCTCTCTCATCCTAGCATGATTCATCCTCCTCTCAGCAGTCATTGCATCTCCTATCGAGAGAAACCAGATGACCAGACAGACAGTCATTCGACAAGCCCGTAGTTAGCTTGCGATTGGCATTGGAGTCGCATCCTTGCTGGTGGCCCTTTTTTTGGATTGCCATGAAGTGTAGAGATAAATGATGCGGGATCAGGAATGTGGTTAGAAGTTGATACTTCATCCCAGTGAGGATGATTCATATGGTGGCCTATTAACTAACTACCCAACCAGCCATTCGGCTAGCCAGCATTTCGTCACAGTAGTAGTCACGTCAGAAATTATCATCCCGTTCTTGCTGGTTACATATTCGTAATTGAAGCGCAGAGATAAGGAATATCAAGAATGAATATTCTTATTTTGAACTTGTCCCAGCTTGAGAGATTATTTCCCATGTGGTATAAGGATCACCGCTCTTCAAAGATGATATTATGCTGTGATTGGGGATAGACCCTGTGATATCCGTTCTGATCAAGGTCACCAGTGCCATTCTGTATAGGTAGAGGAGTGGCGGCGTGTTGGGTATTGTTGCGCTTGATACCTTGTCCCCACGCTGAAGTACTTTATGTCGTGGTGTGGAAATTATCACTGCCACGCAGCTAGGCGGTTTCGTCTAGGTCGGAGTTGGACTGGTATGGTCATTCTTTGTAGCCGCTATAGCTATTTTAAGCCGGATAAATCAGATAGTGAGCACGTTTTACCGCATATTGCGCTATTTGTTCGTTAATATGGCCATATCGTGTTACGGAAACCAGCCAGGCAGGTAGTTCATCGCCATCTGGTCAAATTTGGAATCAAGCCAGGAGGTATGGTTGGGCTTGAGCCTCTGTCCTGTGCTATCCAGGCCGGATAAAGGACATAAGCAGCTAAGCAGTGCTTCCCGGAAGAGAAGGTGCCTGTTGCAGCCTGCCCTGTTTGAATAAAGGCGTGTCCCACGCTGATATAATATAAGACATGCAGGCAAGCAAATGCGAGACGCGCAAGACGAGAGAACAGGAAACAAAGGAAACAAAGAGTGAGGAAAGTGATAGAAATGAATTCTCCAAACAGATTGAAGCACGAAGTCAGGGGGGCGCCGTCGCAATACGGGTATCTGCAGTTGGATCAGGTATGAGAATTCCGGTCCACGTTCCCGGTACTGACATGGTAGATACTTGCCGGGCGTTCGGCTCTCGCACCTGCTCTGATAGTAACCGTGCCGTATAAAAATTCATCTTTCCTCTTGTACTTAATTTGTAGGGCCTTTAGGGATACGGCTTGGACGGATGTCCTTCCTAGATCACATATTCGATTTCAAGGTAGGTATTCGGTACCTTTCCAATCGAGGCGAGGAGCTTGTCTGATATCAAAGAAAAAGGCTGCAGCAGGCACCTTCTCTGATTACATAGACAGCCTTCTTGGTACCTTTCAAATAGTACTCCTAAGCGTGAGCGGACTCAGCATTGTCGGAAGCGATTGTATCACTCAAGGTGCTGGATGATAAGTAAACCGACCAGCATGTATTATTGCACTATGCGCTTTGTGCTCGATATCACGGTCAATGAAGAGTAGGACTCTATGACCATATGTAGCAATTAATTATAATTCCTTGTCTTTCATCGATCATGTCTCCCCGACATCGCATCTCACTCACAAGAACAGTCGATAGTATTTTCTGGCTGCGGTTGTGGAGGTGCTTAATAAACGGAATTGGAATACTTGTGGCGATTATTGATCGCTGTCTGTTGTAATTCTTTGCCATATTCCACGACTTAATTGATTTTGATGTTGTTGAGTCCCAGGGTGACTAAGGTGCCACGGCTTGGGGGCATTTGTCAAATTGGCTGCTGCTGAGCTTGTAGCATATACTGAGCTTGCTTTCGTATCGGAGAGCGAGTTAGCCTCAGTATTCTCGTGGTTATCTCCCTCTACCACGACCTGCGACAGGCAGGGTCTCGATGGTCTTGGTGTTTTCGATGTATGTATCAAAAATTCTCGTGCTTGATAGGATTCAGACCTCCTGCTCCTCTGGCTGGCCCATTCGATTTGCACGCCTGAAGGCCTTGAACTTCGGGTTCATTTCGTTCGGGCGCTCCATGGTGTGGCCCATGATTAGGTTTATAGATTTGTGTTCCGTTAAGCCATGGAACTGTGACAGATTCTTGAGAGTGGCATAATTTGCTGTGTCAGGGATCATCCCAGTAGCTTTTCATGTTGTTGGGATACCGATCCAACCGTTGACGTTGGGACTTGTTCGCTCTCAATAAGAACTGTAAGAAGGAGCGTCTGTGCAGGGCATGACCACGAAAACTGATTAACCAGTCTCGTGTAGAACGCGGGAGACGTAGTCGGGGAAAGGCTGTACAGTCTCTTCTGCTTTCATTTGACCAACTGTCGTTGCGTATTTCCACAAGGCTTTGCTCATTTCCGGCTTGAACATCAACTGGTACAAGCGCTTGTTGTAGTATTCAGGACCCAGGATACGTGTACTCTAAGACTGAGTTTCGAACTTCTCGTCTTTCCTCTTTCCAAGTACCTCCATATCTGCGGTATCTCGTCAATTCGTACCCATGACCATTGCCAATCAGTCGCGAGCGAGGACTTATTGCGTGTTCGGAATGACGACTCTGTCAGGCTTGAGCGTAGGTAGGGCCGACGAAGTATCTTGATCGACTGCAGTCATTGGATCGAACTACATAGCCGACTCTTTCCTTTGGTATATAGTCTGCTGCGCTCGCCTCGGTATGACGATATCCTCTCTGGTTCATCAAGATCAGGCAGCCGGATACCTTGTACTGGGTATGACGCTAAGTATTTGTCGATAACTCCAAAAGATGTGATAGAGTGGCCAACTACCCACTTTAGGCTTTGACGATGGTGAGCAAAGGTCACGTCCCATAGGGTTTGATTCTGATACCTGCTGCCCTTTCTCGAAGTTCGGGACGTAAGATTTGGTAACTCGGATTGTTCTCATATGAACCTCGGCTATAAGACAAGTTGCTCTGGCTCTCTGGTGTCTTTCTGATAATGATACCGAAGATGTGTTTTATGCGGTAGCAGTCCCCCATCCTATAATGATATGATGGTCATCGCGGCTTGACTTGCTGGTGGTGGTTTGCTTCGATTGTAGTGGTATCACGCGTAGGACATGAGCTCATGACTCTAATGACTGTTGATGTTTGCATCAAGTAAGCAGACATGTCTTCCTCCACGCAGGCTTTTGTCAGACGAAGCTTTTGCTGATGAGCTTATACATAAACAGAAACAGCCCTGAGATGTAACTGACCACAAGATTTCAACTTTGTTAAGCACATACCGGCTTCTATGGGACTCTCCCTGTTCAAACCCTGAGAACTGCCCCAACCTTTTGGAGCAAGGGTTCTCCGTCGTCTTCAAAAAGCCACACTATGTGTAGCACCGGGTAGCCCTGGCCCAGCATATTGGAACCACTTCAGGATGCTACCCAAGGATGCCATCTGCTGTTATTGTTGGTGTTTTCATCCATCAATTACTGCATCCTTGAAGGTGATTAAGTTTGTGGACGTGTTCACACGGTAACACGTCTTCTCCTGGCTTATTCACATGGTGCGGTCCGGGCCCAGGTTACAAAATCACATGGAGTTGCCACGGTAGAACCGAGCATGCCTATGCTCTCCATAGCCTAGCTTCTTTCTAGGACTCTCATAGTCCGGTCCCTTGGGGTGGTTCACGGAATTTCATAGCCAATGAACAGCCACTTTCGGTTTTTCTCATCACCCAGATATCTCTGAGCTGATGAAGAAGCTTCTGGCTTTCGTTTTACTGGAAGGAACATCCGCCAGTGGAAACACAGTTTTAATGAATAAACAAGTCCCATGTTCTGCTAGTTATTAAATCAAAGGATGCGTTGGTCCATATGGCGAACCATGCTGCAAGCACTGCTCGAACATGCCGCAGTCGCATGGTAGTTTTTTGATCGAACGAGGCATGAAGGGCCAAAAACGACAATTAGAATATTTCTGCTTGACAAGATAGCATAAAGGAGGATAGTGTGTTTCAGGGCTCCCGCTATGCGGAGTGAGGTGCAGGCACGCAGTAGGGAATGGTCCAAAAGCCCGATTCTCAAGGATTTGATGTCGGACTTTTGTGAGAAATAGTCAGGAAGGCTTTCAAATTGTTCAGAAAAGTGATATACCGTACTTTAAATGGCTCGACTACTGGGTCGGCTTACCTTAGTGGTACTTTGTAAATCAATATCCCTGTCATCGGGTATGAATACCTTTGTATCTTCAATTTCATGAAGATGCTATCGCGCTCTTTCGATTAATGTTTAGGTATTAAAGAGCTTTCATATGCATCGAGTAGCAGTAAGAGTCTGGATATAAATTGTATTATAAAGATCTGCAGATAGTATAATAGAGACTTTGCTAGATTATATTCGAAAGTCGGAGAGGGCAGGGCGGTTGAGGCCTTTATATAGACCGGGTCTTGTTAAAACTTCACTACAATTACATCGTCACTGAACCAAATTTACCCTTCATCGTAACTTTGACTTGGTATATTCCCATGACGAGACGCCATTCACAAACTGGTGGATCTATACAGCTGGTGACAGTGGTCCTGATTGCGGATAATGCGATGTCCATGCTGTTTTGTGAGAAATTGTGAATGTCATCAATCAAGGGACTTGTTTTTACATTAAATAAAGTTTAAACAACCTTTACGTGTGAATTATATCTAAATCACCATCTAAAGAAGTCTTTAGATAGTATTGGTCTGCTGTAGAGCATGAGCTCTCTAAACTTTTTGTAGCCGAACGGGACGGAAGATGGATAGTAATATATAATTTTATGCTACTGCCAGCAGACGAACCCACTTCTGGGATCCATAATCTCAACCACTAAGTAGCTGTACCTGGTTACCTGCTAATAGACTTAGTAGAATAAATAACGTCGTAAGATTAGGTAGCCGGAATCATATTCAGCTGTCTAATGAAGAACAATAATGCAGTTGGAGAGCGATCTGTATAGTGATGACTAAGCAACACCCAGCAGATGGAATCCCCGCGGCGACTTCAATCTTCCTGATTTGGTACATTCAACGCTTCGATACTTAGTGGCAATCCATCATGGATGCGGCAGAGGACAGGGAGGTTAAGCTCCAGCGCGCCTCTGGAGACCTCGTCCAAGAGTTTTCCGAGAAGCTACCGTCTCTCCTTTGGAAGACTCGACCCGAACAGCCAAACACCCGCATTCCACGGAGATGGACCCCCGCCGCAAAAACAGAAAGACTCGTCGGCCTGGTAAGCAAGCTGCCCACGCCGTTTCCCAATCCCAATGATCAGTCTACGAATCTTTATTGTAGAATTGTAGAGACAGCTGACCACTCTACAGTTGGAGCCCTTTCAGGAGTGGCCGCAGCTGCTGGACCCCCACCTGCAGACCCTTCTACCCCCTTTAGTTGATGCTTTTCTGGCATACCTGCTTAAGCACCGCGACCAATATGCGGCTAAGCCTGCAGGATTGCAAGGCCAGAAGACGGCATATCCTCTCCCAAGAGCGATCTGTAGGCTGCTTTATACCTTTTGCAAAGTCCGTGGAGTCAAAGTCATCAGTAGGTTCTTGAACAATGAGCCCAAGTATCTTGATCCGCTCCTCCGGGCTTTCGTTGAATGGGATGCTGTCAAAGATGAACCTGAGCTTGGCCTTGGGGACATTCCCCTGCGACTGGTCTGGGAAGAGCGCTACGTGATGCTGATTTGGCTTTCACACTTGTTACTTGCCCCCTTCGACCTGGCTTCGATGTCGTCGGATGATATCCCGGTTCCTTATGACAACCTCGGCACATTAAAACAGATGCCGACCCAGACACCAATGGTTGCTAAATCTCTACTTTCCTTGGCGTTGAATTATGTTAACGTCTCGGGCAAAGAACGGGAAGCCGCTACCATTGTCCTGGCACGACTGGTGCTTCGGCGTGATATGCAGGCGCTTGGGCTTTTGACTAACCTGACAGACTGGGCGTTTTCGCTTGTTCAGCCTGCAGGTAGTTCTGATCCCCCTTCAGTCTACACGTGTATTGGCGTGTTGTCTTTCATTGCTCGCTTGGGTGCGTCCGGTCAGGTGGATGACTTTGCTCCCCTGGTGTCGCCCGTCTTTGGACAGACGCTGCAAATTCTGCAGGGCAACTCGGCGGTCTCTGACGTTATCAAGTCTTCTGCTCTGGCACGGAAAACTATCATCAAAATCTTGCGTACTGTAACAGTCATGGCCTTGTCTCTCAGTGAGAGGGAAGACAATGCAATCTCGGACGACCAGGTTTCTACAATTTTGGAGGATGCAATTGATCACTTCCTCGTAGCACTTGCTGATAAGGATACCCCTGTGCGCTTCGCAGCGAGCAAGGCCCTGAGTATCATTACTTTGAAGCTGGATCCAGATATGGCCGTGGAAGTCATCGAGGCTGTTACCGGCTCATTGGAGGAGAACATTCTGTATGAGAAGCCGGACGGTACCATCGTGACACCGCTGGAGGCTCGGAGAATAGGGATCAACACGCTTAAACGGAATTTGAGCGCAGTCGACGCTCAAAGGTGGCAGGGTCTGATCCTTACGCTCGGCCATCTCCTGTTTCGCCGGGCGCCTCCTACCCATCAACTTGGCGATGTGCTTCAACCACTTGTTTCGGGTCTTGACTTCGAACAACGGTCATCAACTGGAAGCTCTGTTGGAACAGGCGTGCGCGATGCCTCGTGTTTCGGAATTTGGGCGCTGTCCCGCAAGTATACCACCCAGGAACTGCTTGCCTTGAAACCGCAGACAATCAGCACTGCCGCAGCCCAAGGTGAAGGAGAGAGCACATTGCAGATGCTGGCAATTGAGCTGGTGTGTGCCGCGTGCGTCGATCCGTCTGGAAACATTCGGAGAGGTGCTTCTGCAGCACTGCAAGAGCTCATTGGGCGTCACCCCAACACAATTGCCGAAGGTATATCGCTTGTGCAGGTTGTGGATTACCATGCGGTTGCTCGGCGCTCGCGGGCAATGATCGATGTTGCTAACGCTACCGCTGCTCTCAGCCTCCATTACTGGAGCCCCCTTGTCGAATCATTGATGCACTGGCGAGGTATTGGCTCGCCAGATGCAGAGTCCCGCAGGCATGCAGCCAAAGCGATCGGAGTTTTGAGTACGCAGCAGTCATACAAAACAATGGAACAAGTGTTCCAGCGGCTGCTGAATAGGTTATCCAGTATCCCACATAGTGACGTGGAGACTCGACATGGCTGTCTTTTGGCCATTGCGGCTACGGTTGACGCATTCAACGCCCAGCGTGAGAGGGATCCCGGAAATGCATCGGACGCAACGAGTGTCGCGCACCATGTGGTCAAGGCCTGGGAGATATTTGGCTCTTCGCTCGGGCCAACCAAAGATGACCTCACCCTTCAGACTTTCCGGCCCGAGCTGACAGCAGAGGCTTCTTCTCAGTTGATCTGCTCTCTTGCCAAATCAGTTGCTCTGGCACGTGAACCGCGAATCTCTCAACCCTCAGTGGATTTGCTTACCAAGGCCCAAGAAACACTCTTGCTATGCATATCACGGAGCGAGGACACCTCTATCGAGAGCTCATCCAATGCAGTATCCGAGCTTCTACCTCTTTTGCCACTTGACGAACAGGACAAGATGATCCAGGGGTGGTTTTCACACATTCATACTACTTGGAACCTGCCAACGGGTCGCGGTCAGATCACGGCCCTGGGTACGGTGTTCAAACGGATTGACAAGAATAGTCCTCTCAGAAAATCTATTATAGACAGCATCATAGAATGCGCAGAAAAAGAAGAACTAATCGAGAAGAGAGTGGCCGCTGTCAGGAGCTTGGCTACCGGTATTCTGCCGCATATAGGTATGTTTACTAACCAAACAGTAAAGCAATTGCTAATGCTTTGAAGATGTAACCGATGACATTATGAATCACCTCGTCCGGTTCCTAAATGATTATACAACCGATAGGCGAGGAGATATCGGGTCTTTGATACGGCTTGAAGCGATTCAGGCCGCAAAGTCTGTCCTAGATGCAGGATCGAGACTCACCAATCAAGTACATGGGGTGCAAAATATCATTGGGTGCCTTTGCCGACTTGCAGCGGAAAAGCTCGACAAAGTACGTGTGCAAGCTTGGATTTGTCTTCAGGGTTACTGGGAAACAGCCAATGGCTTCCCCCCGTTGATTAGGTGCGTCTACCGTGTGTATTCAAAATAAGGATACTGATCCAATCAGGAAATACGACCACTTCAGTCATGTATCATCAGCGGAGTATCTGCTGCAACTGCTCCAGTTGCAGAGTATTGATTGGCTGCGCCAGCCTCTGTTTCAAGGCCTTGCAACTTCTGCCGTTGCGGGTAGCGAAGGACTGATTCGGTCATCTCGCTCAGCTCTGGTACAGGGTATCCAAGAAGCAGAGGATCCACAGACTGCAGTATTGGCCATAATCAAGGACTTGGCCGCCATATTGGGCGAATATCTTCAGGATGATCGATTCGCGATCCCTGTGCTCGAGCTCTTAGCATTCCTACTGGATAGCTTTGTTTTTTCTGTGCCCGATGACTCGGCCTCAAGGTACATTTCTCCCATTTGCAGGCTGCAATGTATACTGACAAGTAACAGTCTGCGGAAGCTATTCGTCCTCATCCAAAGAGCCCACTTTAAGTCGTCAAACATTGCCCGACTCGAAGCGGCAGTCCGAGCTTATGCGCCTTTATCGAGGATAGAGCAGCTACATACGGAAGTGATCAAGAAAATGACGGCGCTGTTGCTGCATCCGTTCCCTAGGGTGAGTCTTACGATTCTTTCTGCGGCGTGTACGGCTAACCAGAGCAGGTACGCAACACTGTGGCCGAGTATATATTCATGGAGACGGGGATTGAAGTAGTTAAGATGGAAGACTGGTCCAAACCGACCAAGCAGTTGAAAGAGCCGGTTGAGAAGATGAGGGAGACGCTGGGTTGTAAATAGCGCATTCCTCAGTCATGGATATCTTATCCCGTCGTTTTGCCGATCTCCCAATTCTGCCAATATATCACATAGAATGAATTAACTTTAGAATAGATAATAAGCAATAAACTTGCTACTATCAGGAAGTAGAAAAAGTAAAAAAGAAATTGCTGTGCATCATCCGTGAATCGAACACGGGCCTCATCGATGGCAACGATGAATTCTACCACTAGACCAATGATGCTGTTGTGGTGTAAGGAGTCTCCATATTAAGCTTCCTAAAGGGCAGTATCTGTCCCACCCAGCAGCAATCACCTGACCCGAAGCTCACCCGCTAAAGCGGCACCCATCCACCGGCCCCGTCGCCGACATATCTACAGTTCGAGACCTACTCCAAGTAGGTAATTCCGATAGCTCTCACACCATTCCCTCCAACTCAACCTCCACCAACAAGGGTGCTCCCCACAAACGCACAGCAACAATGGCGACCATAACAGCGCCCACCCCGATACCCCCCAACTGCACGTAAGTCAATACATTCTCTCCCATCTCTTCTTCCTCCGAACCCGCATCGCAACAAACCCATATAGCAGTAACATAAACTGACCACCAGCTCACAGAGTCTACGTACTACTCCCCCCAGCGTTACCCCCTACTCACACCGCATCTCTAACACCTATGAAACGAAATAGGTCCGCAACTTAGAAGAGCGCATCAAAGTCGACCAGCTAAAAGAAGCCCTGGAAGAGATCTTCTCCGAATACGGCACGGTACTTGAAATCGTCGCGAAAACGAACCTCAAGGCAAAAGGGCAGGCTTTTGTTGTGTTCGACACCGTGGAGGCGGCGACCCGCGCCATCGACGAAATCAATGGCTTCGAACTCTTCGACAAACCGATGGTGTTGGATTACGCGAAGACGAGAAGTGATATGACGGTGTTGCGTGAGGGCGGAGAGGATGAGCTAGAGGCGCATAAGAGACGGAGGTTGGCTGAGAAGGGTATGCATATTTCCTTCTGTCTATTTTATCGTTTTTGGTCCGGATGGGAAGGCTAATGTGTCATGTGGTTGGTGTTTGGTGTAGAACGCAAACAAGCGCACGAAGCCCTCGAAGCTCAGAAAAAGCTCAAGCGACCCCCCGGTGCTCCTACGGAACCTGGCCGTCCTGCGAAAACCGCCAAGGGCGCTGGTCTCAAGCCTACCAGTGGGGCTGCGGCGGCGGTTATTCCGGACGAGTATCTGCCCCCGAACAAGATTCTCTTCTTGCGCGACTTGCCCGATACTGCGGATCAGGACAGTCTGACGGCTGTGTTCGGTCGGTTCGAAGGATTCCAGGAGGTTCGGTTGGTGCCCGGACGCAAGGGTATTGCGTTCGTCGAGTACGAGAACGAGTCTGGGGCTATCAGTGCCAAGGAGGCGACGTCGGGGATGCCTATGGGAGAGGCTGGGAAGCCGATTCGGGTTACTTACCAGAGACAATGATTGTGTTTGTTGTCTGTGGTGGTTGTGGCTTGTTTGGCGTTGGGGTGGGTATTTTATTTTATTTTCTCCCTCGTGTCTAGTATGTCTCTTGTTTCATTACTATTACTACCTACTTGATCTGTTGGATGGTATCTGGGAAGAAAGCATGTCTGATGTCTCTTTTGAGGTAAATCATTTGGCTGGCGGTGTGATATCTGACAGTGTAAGGCATATGAAGTGACGAAAAAGAACTGCTCCAGGCTAGAAAGTGTAGGTGAGGGAGGTACTAGTTACAGGGCGAAAGGGAACTGAACGGCGCCTAGAAAATCACGTCCGCATCTTCTTGCTCTCCGAGGACGTCGGGCGCTTCAGGCGCCTCTTCTTCCTTCTTCTCAGCAGCGGCGCTCTCCTGCAGCCTGGCTGCTTCTTTCTGCCGCGCAGCCAGGATCTCTGCGTCTGCAGCAGCGTTGTCGCGTTGCTTCTTACCGGAGACCTTCTTGAGGCGGTAAAACTCTTCTCTGTCGAGCTCGTCCAGCTCCGAGTTGATGTCTAGGCTGTGTTAGTTGGGAGGGAGGTGGCAGGGTAGGGGATACGAACATTTGATGGTGTTTTCAGTACGGGGGATGATAACGTGCTCACTGTAACGGGTTAGTATCTGAATTACTCGGGCGAAGCGATGAATATCTTACATGGCGTTGACTGTGACAAGTTAGCTTAATGGACGGAACAAGTTCTGACAGCAGCACGTACCTCTCCGGTTCACCACCTTAATGACCTCATCTAAAATCACGAATGCAGTCTAGGAACAGTGTTAACTCATCTGAACAACACCATGGGTGTATAAAACCAACCTGTAGACTCGCAAGCTCCACCAGTGTTTCCACTGCTCTAGCATAGGTCTCCCGACAGCGCTGGACCTGCATACCACCCTTTCCGAGACCTGTCAAGCCAAAGTCGTTGATTCCATCCTCCGTGTAGCTCTCGAAATGAGGGAGCAAAACACCCGAGACGTTCTCTTGCTTGGCCCTCACGCGGAACCGGGCCTGCTTGGCGGACTCCTGGATTTGATAGCCAATATCTCCTCCGACCGCATAGCTGACTTCGGCAAGCGAGAAAGCGGCGATTTGCATGACCCGTCCCATCTTCTGCTTGGCCTCGTCGATGCGCCGGGTGATCTCTAGACACATAAATTAGTCTCTGACACGGTGGGAAGCTTTGGGGAGGAAGGCCTCTCATACCCCGGAAACGCCTGTAGATCAGGTTGGGTTAGTGATAACAGTCTCCAATTAGAATAGCGCAAGTCAAAGAACGTACTTGGTCAAAGCCTCACTCTTCCGCTTCAACAAACTGTGTCCAGTCTCGGCACCCTTCAGTTTACCCTTCATCAACCCCAACGACTGGCGAGTCGGAAAGACTGCCTCACGGCCCTGAATAGGTAAGTGTAGTCAGTATGCATGTCCCCGCATAGCTCTTGAAAGGAGACAGGAGGATTAAATCCAGACATACCACAGCACCCGACATGATTTATACAGACGAAAACAAAAATAAAGAAACAGGGAACAACAAGGGCCACTCCAATCCCGACAAAGGCCACGATAGCTGCAGCGAGGAAGGAGGGCCGCGATATGCGATGACGATGCGCGATAGTGAGCTTGGACCACCCCGTGCCCGCCCGCATGACTCCCGGTCACGTGCACGATGTCCGACTTCATCGCCCGCAGCGCTCGGCGCTTTTCTCCAACCCGCGCGACCAGACAAGCTTTCCCCGTTCATGCGAACCCCTTTTCTGCGGATTTCGTGTTGACCGTGTGAGTTGGTCCCGCTCGATTGAGTGGCGCAATGCCAGGGACAATCCTGCCCCCGAGATCCCACCGGCAACACGCTCAGATGGACCGAACGTCGGCCTCAGGGCCGGACCTCTACCTGATTGTAAGTGGGGGCGACGCACCCATTGAACTACCAGACTGATCTGGCTAACTGTGCGATGTGATTCCAGGCCGATCAGGATACTGTCTACGAGCAGGATCTCCTTCGCAGTCCCGGTAGTATCAAACCATGGCTTGCCTATATCGAATATAAACAGCAACATGGCACGCTCTACGAGCAAGCCTTTGTACGTTTTTCCTGCCGTCGCGATGTCGTCCTCGTATGCGTGCTAATGGATTTACTCGCAGGTTATGGAGCGTGCGTGTAGAGAACTACCGAGATCTTACAAGCTGTGGAAGATGGTATGGACTCTTTTCTGCCTGCGGCACCCCTCATATCACTATATTCCGTGTCACATGGTGGTGTCAGAATACAGCTGACCATAGGCAGTATCTCGAATTTCGGACACACCACCTTAAGGGCCGCAACGCGACTGTTTATCGGGCCGAATACCAGAAAGTCAACGCGCTTTTCGAGCGTGCTCTCATCCTGCTCAACAAGATGCCGCGGATATGGGAAATGTATCTCTCCTTCCTGCTCCAGCAGCCTCTTGTCACGCAAACCAGACGGACGTTCGATCGTGCCCTGCGAGCTCTGCCAATCACACAACACAATCGGATTTGGAAGCTCTACAAGACTTTTGCGCGTTCCGCGTCAGGGCAGACGGCCGTGAAGATCTGGGCTCGATACATGCAGATTCACCCTGAAAATGCCGAGGAGTACATTCAACTGCTCGTCGATATGGGCCAGTACACGGAGGCTGTGAAGCGGTACATGGAAATACTCGACAACCCCCGTTTCCAGTCCAAGGAAGGAAAGAGTAATTTCCAGCTATGGACGGAGATGGTGGACTTGCTGGTATCAAAGGCAAAGCAGATCGAGACTGGCCCTCAGGTAGGAATTGATGTCGACGCCATTCTGCGCAGTGGCATTGATCGGTTTGCCGACCAGAGGGGCAAGCTGTGGGCTGGTTTGGCCACTTATTGGATTACCAGAGGTAATTTCGAAAAAGCAAGAGATGTCTTCGAGGAAGGTATCACCACGGTCATGACGGTCAGAGACTTTACACTGATCTTTGACTCTTATGTCGAATTCGAGGAGTCTATCATTGGCAGCCTGATGGAATCAGCAGCAACCCGAACTGACAAAGGACAAAGTGACGAGGAAGCAGACTTCGACCTTGATCTGCGGATGATGCGATTTGAGCAACTCATGGATCGACGACCGTTCCTTGTTAATGATGTGCTTCTCAGGCAGAACCCGAACAATGTCATTGAGTGGGAGAAGCGAGTGGCCCTCTGGGGAGACAACAAGCACGAGGTCGTGCAAACCTACACAGCTGCTATTGCGGCTATTAACCCCAAGAAGGCACACGGCAAATTCTCCGAACTCTGGGTCAACTATGCCAAGTTCTACGAAAACGGAGGCGATCTGGACACGGCTAGAGTCATCTTTGAGAAGGCTGTCAAGGTTCCTTTCAAATCAGTTGCTGAACTCGCCGAGACATGGTGCGAGTGGGCGGAAATGGAACTGCGGAGCGAGAACTTCGACAAGGCCGTGGAGATCATGGCGAAGGCAACGCAAGCACCGAAGAAGTCGACTGTGGACTATTTCGACGAGAACCTGTCACCTCAGCAACGTGTGCACAAGAGCTGGAAGTTATGGAGTTTCTATGTCGATTTGGTCGAAAGTGTCTCCTCCCTGGAGGAGACGAAGAAGGTCTACGAAAGGATTTTCGAACTACGCATCGCTACCCCTCAAACCGTCGTCAACTACGCCAACCTCCTGGAAGAGAACAAATACTTCGAAGACTCCTTCAAGGTCTACGAACGTGGATTGGATCTCTTCAGTTACCCAGTTGCGTTCGAGCTCTGGAACCTCTACCTGACCAAGGCAGTTGACCGGAAAATTGGAATTGAACGACTCCGCGATCTGTTCGAACAAGCCTTGGACGGATGTCCTCCCAAATTCGCCAAGCCTCTTTACTTGATGTATGGCAACCTGGAAGAGGAGCGCGGTCTGGCCAGACATGCCATGAGAATATACGAGCGTGCTACCCGCGCCGTCTCCGACGAGGACAGATTCGAAATGTTCGAGTTCTACATCACCAAGTCGGCTTCGAACTTCGGATTAACGTCCACGAGACCCATCTACGAACGGGCCATTGCAGCCTTGCCCGACCAAGAAGCGAAGGAAATGTGCCTCAAGTTTGCGGAGATGGAGCGGAGACTCGGTGAAATCGATCGGGCCCGTGCTATCTATGGGCATGCGTCGCAGTTCTGCGATCCCCGGACCAACGCGCCCTTCTGGCAGAAATGGGAGGCATTTGAAGTCCAGCACGGAAACGAGGACACCTTCAAGGAGATGCTTCGTATCAAGCGCAGTGTTCAAGCACAGTACAAGTAAGTGATTCCCTTGTGTAGCAAGCAATTGGCTCATGACTAACCTCAAAACAGCACCGACGTCAACTTTATCGCTTCCCAGGCGATTGCCCGCAGTCAACAGCGGACCCAAGATGGCGGCAAAGACAACACTGAGCAAGACGGCGTGGACGCGGAGGCGGAGCGTGCAGACGCAATGGCAGCATTGGAGCGACAGGCTCGTGCCCCCGTGGGCTTTGTCGCCGCCAGCACCGGACCAGAAGGTGGCAACCGGCCACCTCCAGCTGGCCAGGAACAGCAGCCCCCGGCTGCTCCAGTCAACCCGGATGCGATTGACCTCGATGACGACATGGATGCTGACTAGTTTTTCCTCGTTTCTCTGCTCAATTTACCTGTATACCATTCCTTTATCTTTTGAATAGCTGCGCTGCAATCTCAATGACAACATCCCATCATCCATCATCGCATTCAAGATGGAATTGCTGCAAATCTCCTGACTTTCCATCATCATCACTATCAACCAGTTTTCTATACTCTCCCACCTACATACAATCTCATCTAACAAACAACTCATCATCGCTACTGGGCCTTTTTGAATAGCCCAGAACAATCCCCTCCACACTACAAACCCATCTGTACCACTCGACCATCCAACTTCTCCTTTCTTTTGATCTCCAACCTATGTATCTGTCCGCGCGTCTTTCATTCCCACTTCGCTCTATATTTTACTTATAGGATACCTATTTAGTTAGTACGTATCATTCTTCTCTTCGGCGTTCTTTACTATAGTATAGTATAGACCCACTGAATCAGAGCTTGTTGATTGCTTATCGTGGAGCATTTCCCTTGTATATGCATGTTTTGTATGGATGTACCTTCCTCTTTTTCCTCATTCACTGTCTACTGCGTACTTGTAGGTATAATCACTAAGTAGATACTGAAAATATGATTTGTGTTTGATCCTCATAGTAGCAGGAATATAAATATGGTTCTAGTTGTATCAATATTGTAGAGAAGGAATAGACTAACAGCACCTTCTATACTTACCCGCAAGTTTGGACACAAACACAACCAACCAACATGAAACTCTATGCATGCGGATAATTTAAATCTCCGTGACTAGATAAGTAAATATAACAAACAAGCCAACAAACAAACAAACAAAACGGTCTTTCTTTCATAAGATGAGTGAGATTATATTTACAGGGTACACAGATGGTAGGTATTTTTGCAAAACATGGATGGGCCTCAAGCGTAAAGTGGCAAAATAAAAAAACGGACTATAACCCACGCTATAAAATGCCCGAGGTACATAGAAAACAATGGGTAACAAGAAATGATGAATGATGATAGCTTTGTTCATTACAATGTCCGGCAGTCCGTGCTAGGTCTCAGGGACTGGACTGGACTAATTAATCCTGTTTAGTAGCTGGTGCTTCGGTCTCTTCTTCTGCTTCGGCTTCGGCAGGAGCTGCGGATATCGCTGGTGGCTCTGCTGCGCTGGTGCTGGTTTGGTCTTGGGGTTCGGCGGGGGGAGTTGAAGTTGACGGGACAGGAGAGGGAGCCACTGAGACGGGCGCGGATTTCTCGTCCGACGCATTGGGGAAGATTTCCTTGAATAAATCAGGCAGGAATCGTTCCAGACGTTTCTTGGTTTCTGTCCAGATGGACTCCTTGCTGGGATCTTGGGAAGGAGGGACCAGGTAGCCTCCGTCTGCCATGACGAGGAGGATGTTCTTGAGACTTTCGGGGATAGCCTCTTCCTGTTTGGGGTTAGTGCTTGGCTTTAGGTTGAAGTTGGTAGTAAGGCAACGTACCAGGCTGTCTCCTTGGCCACTGTTCATCAATCGGTCGAGGATATCGAGGATCTTGAGCCACAGATCGAGCATGCCGTCGCGGTTGGGAAGCTGGTCGAGGTAGCGCAGGAAGATTTTGCAGACCAGGATGGCCACCTGGACGCGGGTTTCACCCATTCCCAAGGGGTCGGAGTGGTACACCTCGGGCTTCAATAACCGCAGGATAAGCGGGAAGAGAACTTGATCGAAGATGGTTGTCCATTCCTTCTCATCGGTGGAGCTGATTTCAAGAGAAAGGAGAGTTCTTTGTAGAGCTGAAACGGCATGGTGACGGATATCTCTGCATGGATTGATGCATTGCGCAGTCAAGGATTGGAAGATGGGAGACCAGTACGCGGACCAGGCTGGGAAGTATGTCAGTTTATGCTTGCCGTGTAAAGGGTCTATTTGACGAACCTTCGCTCTCCTCGAGGTGTGACTGCTTGATCAGGCCGGGGACACGCCGTGTCAATTGAAGGACGAAACCGATGGCCTTCACACCACGTGAAACCACCTCATTCTCACTACCAGGGTTGTCAATTCTCCTGAGTCTGTGCGAGGGTGATTGTCAAATATACGTACCTCGGTTTTGAAGGCTTAACAGCTTTTCCGCGTCGTCCATGCGCGTCCCGCTGTCGCTCCTCAATATAGCCTACGCTACCAGCGCTGATGAAGTCATTCGCGAGGCTAACGGCAGACTCATAGTTGTCGGCGGTAATGATGGGAGGATTCGACTCCACAATGGAGCGGAGCAAATCGAACACGAGTGGTGCAGCTTCCTTGTGAGGCAGTAGTCTCTGCAAGATGGACCAGAAATCAGGAGAGACGGTGATCTCATTCCGCAAAAGCCCGGCACTCGAGATACACCGCGAAAAGCTCTTCACTATCGTAACGGCGACGCTCTCCAAAATGTCCTGGTCAAAGCCAGAGATTCCGTGCAAGATAACAGGAACCCTTATAAAAGGCTGATCCTGAATGCTGGTCAGTGTACTAGAACGCAGTGCAAGAGGGAACTGACATACATGGCTCAGCCGCAACAGGTTCAGCAGATAATGAATAATCCGGGACAAAGCCAGAGAGTGGATGTTTCTAGCGTCGCGGATGAATGCTTGCAATGTGGTCAGAAGTCTCTCCCCGAGAGCCTCTAGGGTTTGCGAGTCCCGAAGGGTCAGGATAGTCGCTAGTTCGAGGAGGTACATCATTCCCGGGTCGTAGTTTGACTTGCCGCCATCGGTCCTGCCGTTAGACGCCCTTGAGCCAGCCGAAGGTCGTTCAGGCTTCACGACAATGACCGCCGGGGCACTTTCCTCGGGCATCTGGGCCAAAAGCGCTTCAACAACCAGAGACACCGTCTCCAATGGGAGGGACCTAAAAGCAAGTTAGAGATCTTAGTAAAAAAGGACAGCGAATATAACTACTCACTTGATATTCGCCAAGATTTCGGTAGTAGAACAAGCGGTGATGCAGTCCACGGTGCACAAGGTGTTCTCCAGCTCTTCGTCCGACGGCTCCGGAGGCTCATCAGCTGCGTAGCTGGAAAGGTATGATGTGAATGCAGATAAAAGCCCAGTTTCCGTATTCCTTCCATCGCGGTCCACGACCTGCGACGGAGTCTGCAACGGGATTGGCGAGATATCAAGCTCAGCGTTGAGGTTGGAATCGAGGGCAGGAATAAGAGAATTTATGAACAGGTTGCTAAGGATCCGAGCCACATATGTCCAGCCCTGCTGAACTGCGGCTTCGTTGCTAGCCAAAACACGGAAGAGTACTACCGCCGCCAGTTGAGCCCTGAAATCCCGTCCGAATTTTACCGCCAATTCGCTCACCATCACGCTCTTCTGACCGGCCTGCACTTCGGTGTTGAGAGCGGTACTGGGAGGCTTGTCGGTAGCCAATGTACTGATCGAGGAGAGACAGAAGACGATACGGTCGAAGGCGTCGGTCAAGCCATAACGGGCAGCAATTTGGGCGCACTGATCGAATCCCGTGACAACCCGGGAATAAACTGCGTCGTCTGAGGCAGACATGAAGACGTAGGACAGAGTCGCTACCACCGGTTTCCAGGTAGCGGCGAACATCTCAGCGTCGTAGATATTAGTCTCCCCAACGACCAACTCTCCGGCAGACGAGGATTTCAGCAACAATTCCCGCCACGCAAAGTCGAACGCGTGCTGGTTATCATGCTCATCCGGCAAGATGATCTCATTATGTTTTATTGAATCGTAGATTTCTTGCAAGAACTCAGGCGCAAAATCCTGGCCTGAATTCACACCCCGCAGATTCCTGGAGAAATCGGTACAGGACATGCGATTCTGGGATTTGATGTTGGGATTGTAGAGCTCTGTATTAAGCATGATGATGGCGTATGTCAGTACAAACGCAGCGTCCTTGTCGGCAATCTGAGTGGGTTGGGCCTTTTGCATGTATTTCTCGGTGAAGGTGGTGACAATTCGTTCGATCAGGGGAGATTCGCCAGGCAGGCGGAAAGCACCCAAAAGATCACGAAGGGCGTCCACAATGGTCTTTCCAGAGAAGTCGAAAAGCTCGACAAAGGCATCAAGTAGCTCCTCATTATTGCGCTTGGACAGATATTCACCCAGAATTTTCTTTGACAACCGAGTCGTCCCCTTCAAGAATCGAGCAACGAGGGCGGGATCACTCGGATCCTCAATAATACCGTGCGATGCTAAATAAGCAATCCCGGCTTTGGGATCTTCGTTGAACTTCTGGGCGGCGTGAATGATCAGCTTCTTCGTCTTCCGCTGGCTTCGGAGCTGCTCGATGGAAGGGAAACCCTCATGCACCGGCTCATCATCAAGCCGGTCGTAGATGTACTGGACGTAACCGAGTAGGGCGTCTAGGCACAACGGGGGCACGTTGGTTGTGCTCCACGTAGCTGAATCCGGGAACGCACTACGGGAGAGCAAGCCGATCATGTCCTCGCACAGGTCGGCGCGATCGACATCGCAGTCGTAGTTGATGAAAAGCTCTACCATGAAGCTCGGGATGCGTGCCAGCACGCCAATGCTCTCGACCATAGCCTCCCGGGTCTCCGGCCTCCGCGATCCACCTTCCAGGCCCAACTGTTGTCTATCCTTCACGGGAACCGGGGTGGACCTTCCACTATTCGTTTGCGATGGGGACGGCTTCACTAGCTTGGGCACCTGCGGTACACCGTCGTAAAGGGCTGGGTTGATGCCAGGCTCTTTCGGAATCTCTACCTTCGGGTGCAGACAGGCGACCAGATAGGACAGGTAAAGCTCCTGCTGCAACTTCAAAACCGGCCGACAAGTGAGCAGCAAGGTGCCGGCGACCCTCAGCGACGCAGTCAAGATTGCAATGTTTTCGGATCGAACCAGCTGGAAGAGGTGTCGGCAGAGATCGTCTTGCGCCAGCGTAGCGAGACTCGGGTGTTTCGCGATAGACGGCCCCGCGACCTCAAGGGCAACGTCGATGATCCTCAACGCCATGACCTTCATGGGCTCGGTATGTTGGCGGTTGTGCGGATCTAACAGGTCGATGAGGACGCGGAACAGTTCCCGGATGGATGGCAAGGAGTATGGCTTCACTTCGTCGCCCGTGTCGTCCTGTGGGTTTGGTGGCGCGGCAACAGCATTTCCATTCAGCATCTGCTCGGGCGATCCGTCTCGGCTGCCACGGTCTCGATCAGTCACCCCCGTGTCGGAACCCATGGCGGAGGGATGTTGCGAGGTCACGGTGTTCCCGTCGACGGACGGGTCCATCTTCAGACTGGTCTGCTCCATCTCTGGGCGCAATGGTGCTTGCGATCCGGTTTCGTCGGACTCAGAGACCTCCAAGTGCGACAGGCGCATGAAAATGACCTGACACATGTTGACCATGGCCATTTCGGCGGACCTCCGCAACACCTCCGACAGGCGGACCTGACAACACATGCTCAGACCCGTTTCCATCATCTCACAAACACTCTCATCTCCGAGCAGCTCGCCCTCCGGCCGAGACAGCATCCCTTCCATCAACTTCAGGATCCGCAGCAAGACAATTTCATCGGCGGCCGAATCACTGGCTTCGAAGCGGCAATGGGTGATGGCGGCCGACAGGAGTTGCATGGCCATGGGGAGTCTAGGGGAATCGCAACTGATGATGTTGTAGGCGAAGAATTTGGTCAGGGCGACAAGGGCAAGGGAGGTAATGGCGGCGGAGGTGGACGAGGATCGGACGACCTGGAGGAACGGGTGAAGCAACGCAGGAGCGTCAAAGGACCGGATATCTTTGCAACCCTTCAGGTCGCTCCGCAACCTGGCGAAGGCTGAAATCAGCGGGTTGTCTTGCATACTCTTGCCCTTCTTGCCCCGGAGACCCCAGCGGTTGGCGAGGGCGTGGTCCTCATCGGCGGAGGACATCCTCGATCTTGGACGGGGCGGCGTAGACCCATTGCGGGGGCTTGGGGGTGCAGACGTATCCCGGTCGTAGACACGAGAGACGGCGCCTCCACCGAGGATGGCAGAGACGGACGAGTGAGCCCACCGGGCATGTTTTCGCATGGCCGAGGTGACTGTGATGCATTCCGTAATCACCAACGCGACCGGATCGACCGCGATGGGTAAAGGCGTGGACGACATGACGAAGAGTAGGGAGGGGAGAGGGAGCGGCCAGAAAACAATCGCCGGACAATGAGAAGCAGTTCAAATCATGGCCCTACTCGAACAGAGCAGCGAGAGGGAAGGGGGGTGTAGAGGAGGGATGAGGAGAGGGAGTTGGAGGAGCCGAGGGGGGAGGCAAGTTGAGTTCGGCGAGCGGGAACACAACAGCTGGTCTTCTTTTGGCTCCGGCGAGCGGAGAGCGAGCCTGAGGTTCTCCATACCTGCCCAATGGGGTTTAGGCCCAACCCGTCTCCGGCGGCCAGGGACGTTTAACTAAACAGTTGGTTTCACGAGGGAGTAGATGTGATCAATTATGTAGAACCAAAGAGATTAAGTCTTTATAAATTTTATATAGGTAAAGCCTACAGTGTTAGATAGTGGCTTGTTAGCCGGTGTTGTAATTTCATGGGATAAAATTTCCCCTCAAATAGATTAACCAAAAGAAAACCCTCATGGTTACTATGCGCCCCCAAGCCCAGTCGCTGCAGTAACTACTTTTACTCTTGTCACTTGGGGAGGGGAAATCTGCAAGGGTTGCTTCTCCCATTGCGATTTGCTGAGGCTAGTTGCGGGGGATTGTATGAGAATGCCTTGCTTGATCCTTATAAAGTTTAACCTGTGATCGATAATCAGGACAAGAGCTGATGGTAATATGATACTATCCAAGATAGACATCTGAGAAGGAACGGGAGGGTATTCCCGATCCACCCATAAAGAAAAAATGGTAAAAAGACAATGGATTGATTGTTTGGTTTGGGGCTGGGTTTAAGAATAAGGATCCATGGTTGGGGATGCGATGTTTTGCTGGGGGATCTGGGCGGTGTGGCCAGTCCGAGTCCGATAGTGCGATCTATCAATCTGGCAGTCCGTAGACGGTAGAGCAGCTTGCCGGTCCCACACTGGTCTTTTTTTATATTATTTTTATTATTATTATGTTTAGCATTATTTTTTGGTTATCTGACTATGGAGTAAACAACTGCTTCCTTCCGGGGTAATCAATGCATGCACCTGAATCACCCTTACCTGGGAAAGTCTTCCCTTCAATAGTATGAGTAACTTCGCAGCGGGTGTGACCCTTCTCGTGGGATTCCAAGAATCTTCCTGTGGCTTTCTTTTCCCGGACAATTGTTGACAGTTGGCGCACTTTTCCCCTCTACACGTGTCGGCGTGTGATTCTTCCATTTGCGTGGAGGAAAAAAGAGAAAATACTAGAATTAATCCGGACATTTTTATAGATGGCATACTCGGTACGTGTAGACGCTGTAGAAAATAAGCTATTAGCATTCTTTCTCTATCGATGGTTACTATACTTATCACCGAGCATTCTGATCCCGGTGAATAAAGGAGAGGATAGTCGATCTGCCACCGATCAAACTAAACCAGATTAAGTGTTGCCAGATCCCCTCCCCCCCCCGCGTGCCCGAAACACAAAAAAAGTGTAAGAAAAAGGCGCGTCACTCCAACCGGCCAGACCCGATCTTCTTCCTTCTTCCCCTCATCGTGGAGGCTGCAGCACTAGCCATCAGCAACCCAACTTAGTTGCCAGTCGCTCGGTCCAACGCTGCACATCCCCTGCAAGTCCCTCGCTGGCTGTCAAAAGACGAAAACAAACACACGGACGGTGGAACTGAACTGTTGCTGCCACACTCAACTCGGGGAAAGCTTGTTCCTGTCGCTGTCTCTCCCTCAGCAAGTGCGTGTGTGTGTGTCTGGGCCCTTCCCCTCAGAAACGCGTCTTACGATCCGATCGATCCATTGATTGATTGATTGATTGATTGATTTATCGCCATCACCGTCGCTGCTTAACCTTCTACTTCTCCTCTTTTTCTTTCTCCTCCTCCTTCTCCGCCTCTCTCCTCACCAACTCACTCACTCTCTCTCTCTTCTTCTTCTTCCCATCACTCTCGCCAGTTTTTCCCATGGAGGGGTTTCTTTCTCTTTCCCCTTCCGCTGCATGAGGACCCTCATTCGTTACTCCATCAGACTGTGCGACATCGCCGCTTTTTCTATTATGTCTTCGTCCATCTACATCGACCTTCTTTTGCCATAGTCCTTCCCTAATTCTAATCCCCTCCTGGGACCTGCCCATCCGGCTTTCTGTGGTTGGGCATCACTGACTGCGGATCACTGTTCACTAACTCTTCCTACTTTTGATTTCCTATTTCACGGACTACTACTTACTTGCTTGACTCTTCTCTTATCGTTCTCGGTTTCTGATTGTCCTTAAGATTGGCCCTTGCACTTAATAATCTGTCCCACCTATTGGCTATCTACTAGTGCAACTAATCATCCTTGATCGCTCTTTCCATCCAAAAACCCCCGCCAATTTATCGGTCGGCAATTACCCACGCTTTCGTTGCATGCGATAACCAGTCTTCCTTCCTCCCTCCCTCCTTCCTCCCCCCCGCCATCATGGCGACGGTCTCAACCGCCCCATCGGACCTGCCTTTGGAGCAGCTTTCCTTGTACCATGCCTCCGATCCGTATTTATCGTCCATCTTCATCTTCTACGGTCCCGTCGCAACTGCAAATGCCACCGTTAGCAGTTCGCGCATTCAGGCGCATATCCTCACCCCCGCCGGCTTCCAAAGCTACCCGCGCATTACCGTCTCCCCCGCAGCCCCCTTATACGCCGCGGTCAACCACTTGCCTCGAGAGAAGCAAGGCGATGAAGTCAGTCGTGGTCTCGCCGTCAGTATGCTGAAGTACTTTGCAGAGCTGTCGGACCCCGCCAAGGAGTGCTTGCAGACCTTCGCCCGCGCCGGAAAACCGGGGCTGAGACTGCCCAAGCTCTTCGATGAAATGCACGCGGCGGAAATAGCAAATCGCATGACGAAGATAGAACACACCGCTGACATTGTGCGCGACATTCGTGGTGCTTTCCAAGAGCGCAAGGTCCCCTGGGTGGATATCGATGTGGTCCTCCCCACCGGAGTGATCCAACCTCCTACCCAGCCCGATAACGATGATGATGTTCATGATGGTAATGCAGATTTGTACGATGCCCCCGATCTTCACTATGGACGCTATACGGCTCTGGTACGATCCCTAGGAGCGCCCATGTTCCTGCCCACTTCCCGACTGAAGCGCGCCCCGTCGCAACCGACGAACCTGAGCAAGTCCCGGCTCTTCTCTAAAGGCCAGAAACAAGCCCTGCGCTTGACCATGTGTGAAGTGGTGGATACGGAAGAGAGATATGTGAACAAGCTCTACACCCTGGTGTGTCATGTGGCGGAGGAATTTCGGTTGAAGGCCCAGGCAAGAGGCCCATCAAGTACCAGCCCCAATGAGTCCGATCTGGCCACGCTCTTTCCGCCATGCTTGAATGAAATCCTGGAGGTCAACATGGGTTTCCTGGGGGTAATTCGACAGGTTCTCGAGGAGACGGAAAAGGAAGCCATTGATGACCTCACGGATGATACAGAACTGCCGTCGTCGGTGTCGCAACGATCTTTCTCGCGGGAGGAAACGGATGCGATTGGCGCAGTGGCTTTTGCCAATGCGCTTCTGGATTGGTTCCCCCGGTTCTCCCAGCCGTACGCCGATTATATGCGGGCTCACACCGGCTTCACGCAGACGCTGAATTCATTTATGAGAGACAAGCACTCGAGCTTCTCGAAGCGCGTCTACGAAACCGGAGAGCAAAAGCTGCGCTCCCTTCTCATGGAGCCGGTGCAACGTCTCCCTCGCTACAGTCTTTTGATCGACACCATGACCGGCAGTCTTCCTCTGGTTCACCCGGCTGTCCGACCATTGCTGAAAGCGCGCGATGTTATCAAGGACATTTGCTCGCTCGATGACGCTTCATCGACCAACCACGACCAGAGCTTTCGACGGTTGAAAGAGCTAGTTGATGGATGGCCCTCGACGATTCTACCGACCGGCCGCCTGATCACCGCCGTCGATTTCAACGAGCTCACTCCGCCCTATCATCTTGATGTTCCACCCACCGAGCCCAGCGCGGGTATTATGCTGATTTACAAGAATTGTCTGGTATTACTATCGAAGCCTGTGGGGGCAAAAACGACAGCGCGTGGTCTCCTGGCCGACCTAGATAACGCCGCCGCGGCCACCAACACCGCGCCCAATTCGCCTGCCTCATCCGAGCTCCGAGTGGTACAAGTGTACGACTTACACACCGTGCGATGTACGCAGTCCACGTGTGGCCGGATTTTGTTCTTGGCTCCGGCATCTGCCACCTCAAGACCCGACCAGAATACGACAGTGGACCTGCTTGCGCTCGAGCCGGTGTCCATGTACGAGGGTCGTTCGAGCCGAATCATAGAGGAGATTGCGAAAGCTAAAATTGAGGGCCGATTCTCTGAGAGCGAGCGTGAAAGTGGCAAGTGGTCGCTGCGCAGTCCAACCGGTACGGTTGGAAATCTCGGGATCCTAGCATGTGTGTTCGAAGAAGCGCCGGAAGAGGCCGCGCAGAGGGCCAATCTGTCGAAGATCCGGGTGATTTTCGATACTTCTAGGGCGGACTGCAGCCAGAAGTTGAAAGAATCTGACTTGGAGGTGATTGTGTCCGTGTCTTTGGCCAATGAAGACCAATACCGGGTGGATGTTGACTCCGTAGTCGGCACTGCCTCCTCGGATATGGTCACCGTGGATAGTTTCGTGCCCGTACTCTCCAAGCGCTGTAAGTACTTGCCAAATTGGCCGATAATTATTTCTGTACTGACCCTGGTAGTACTAAATGTCCTCCTCCCTCTCCATGGGCCTCGAAATCGGACGATGACGGAGTCGATCGTACATTCCAACTTCGACATTCTTCGGTACCTCGCCGGACACCTCATGGCTCAGTTTAAAGTTCCGCGTGGCTTCCGGCCCCCTTCGCCCTCGAAGTTGCTCTCCAGCCTTCTGGGGGGGAGTCAATCAAAGGAAAGCAATGCACCCAGCGCCAAGGCACCGACTTCGGCAACTCTACTGGGAGAGTACCCTAAAATGCCACCGCCCCGAGGCAACATGCCGCGCTCGAACACACTGCCTTCGGTTTTCCCTGGAAAGGAGGAGAGTCCGGTCAAAATCTCAGTGGTGGGCGCTCCACCGACCAAGGGCGAGGAAAGTCCATTTAGTGCGCTGGAGCAAACATTTGCAGCTTATGCACTCGCCCTGCAGTCTCGGAGTGGGAATATTGTCGGACGGTCTCTTCGCGGAAGGGATAACGTCGATCGGTCGTCGGTCAATGAGCTATACAACATCCTGCTTGAAGACCCCGGGCGGATCCAAGCAGCAGCCGAAGTTCCAGTTGACACGCTTTTTGTGGCCTTCGAAACGTTTATGACCAATGCGTGGAGGGAACACATGGGCCCCGTTATTGACTCACCTTCCCTAAGGATTTTGCAAGCGCAGTTTGACAACATGTTCCCACGGGACTTTGATGAAAGCTTCCGAAGGTTCTTAGCTGACCAAAGCCCCCAGAATCGGCGTGCGCTGGCCTCCATGATCCGGCTGCTGGCGGAGCTGCTGGATGCCTCGGGTAGTGATGGCGACCGGGGCGCGTTGACTGCGGCCTTTGCAGAAGTTCTGACAATCGATGGCGACCCAATGCAGCATATCTCTCTCCTGGACCGACTAGTGGACGATTTTGATAACCTGTTTGATGAATACATCCCTGGTGGTGCGTCATTGGAAGGGACTCTCAACTGCGATCAAACAAAATCGGTTTCCCAGACTGCAGGCTCCATGAATTCGAACGCGTCCTCCTTCCGGAAGCGTTTCGGCTTCGGTCTGCACCGAGAAAACTCCAAGCTGGAGGGAGAAAGCAAGGTCTCGTCCATCCTCAGGACATTAAGCAAGGGTAAGGGCTCGGGTGACTCGGAGCCTGGCACGCCAAAGGGGTCGCTGCTACGGTCCAAGTCGATCGACGTCGATACCAGTCTAGGTTCCCTGTTGCGACCAGGCTCCCGCGACCGCCCAGGTGCATCCATCTCCCAAGAACATCTTCGACGACCAGGTAGTTCCCAAGAGCAACCGCCGTCTCTATCCTCCGTTCGTGGGATTCCAACAAATACAAATGGAGTGGTGAAAGTGCGCCGCAAGAGACGAAGTTCCCTCTCGGATCTCCGACCCGGCACTGCCTCTTCCGATGTATCTATCGTGTCCAGTGTGGGACAACGACCTGCAACTCCGTCGTCTATATCAAATCAACCTCGGACCGACGTGGCGACTCCTGCTGGACAGGCGCGGCCGCAGACTAGTCATGGCTCAGGTTCGACCGTCAGAAGCACATCACCAGCCAAAGGTAACTCTCCCACTCGGTTGCCTTCGCCAACCCGCCGATCACCGACACGTCCAGTGACGCCCAGCCGCAAAGAAAACATCGACCCCAAAATGCCGCAGACGGAACGCGCCACGAGGAGAAAAGGCGAAGCCTCGGTATCACCTACGCAAGAGGCCAAGAGAAGGTCACGGGCTACAAGTATACCCTCTTCTCGCGCCCCTGGTCTGAAGGAGAGACCGCTTCAAGTCAACGGCTCCGATGCGAGACGCCTGCAACCGACGTCTTCTCAGAAGACCCCCAAAATGCGGTTGCAGAGTCCCCAAAAGGTACGCTTCATGTCTCTTCCTTTCTTGCCGCGTCTATTTATGGAGACATGACGACTAACATTGATGGTACAGCTTCGGGATCGCCTAAATAGTGAAAAGAGAGCACAAAACATGGCGCAGCTAGGTCTCAAGGATGAGCTCGAACTCATTGGTGAGGAACTGCGGGCGATGAGACTTACTCCATCGTTGGTTAGAGGTGACGGACAAGGCTCCGATTCCCTTGACGAGCCATTTGCCTCGCCTACCGCAAATTCGTTCTTGGTGTCCCGCGTCCACAACCTAGAGATGAAGTTCGAAACGCTATCCGGCGAGTTCAATGGTCGCACCGCGGCGATCGAAAAGGACCTGGAGTCGTCTCTGGTGGTCAGCGAGAAACGTGCCAAGAAGCTCGATGAACTTTATCGCGAAGCCAGCGCTGAAAACGAAGCTCTTTACGATCGGTTCAACTCCGAATTGAGTAAGATCGCTAAAGATGTGAGAGCTGGAAATGTCGAGGAAGCGCTCAAAACACAGCTGTCGTCGGCTCTCGAGGAGATTGGCCGGTTGAAGAAGGAGAATTTTCGGCTGAAGCGTGAAGTGGGAGGATTACGCGCGCAGCAAGCCGCGGTGGCCTTGTTGAAGGCAAGTGAGTGAGCGCTGAATGGTAGCGGGCTCGCGTCAGTGACGTACATTTTCATTATTCTAATGTTTTGTTTCTTTTTCTGGGATATCTTCGAACTGGATATGAGTGTTTGCCTGTTACTGGAGATGGCCTTTCTTTTCTTTCCTCCTTTTCTTTCTCGGAATCTATTATACGGTGGTTTTGGCGTCTGAGCCATGCTGATGCTCAGGAGCGTCGTTCATTTTATTCCGCACAGTTTATTCCGCACTTGTGCATAAGGCTTCTCTTTCCTTTGTGTCGTGGCATAGCCTGCGGGTCTGCTTGGCTATTCTGAACTGCATCCGACGGGGTTTGCTTCGGGTTGGCGGGTTATGCATGTCGATCTCTTACTTTCCTATTCTTTGTGATATTTTCACTCGTCCATACTTTCCTTGTCTGGAAATCTCTTTGTAGCATAGCTTAGCTAGTTCTTCAACCAACCCATCCGTTCCAACGGTTCCTGATCAATCATCTTATACATCCACTCCCACCGGATATTACAGGTCATTGACTGTAGCATGTCTTCAGCTCCAGGCAACCACGTCTCCATAGTCGGCAACGCCAACGGCACCTCTTTCCCTCCATCTCCAACCAATACCAACAACGGCACCGTGAAACGTACTAATCCCGGCGCATCCCGCCCCAACCGATCCATTAACGCTCGCATTTCCTCTTTTGACGCTGCCGTGCGGATGTTCTTCAAATCAGACTTTTGTAGCGGCCGCACGATCAGCGATAGCGATGTGGATTCCGGAGCTGCCCCCGATGAAGGTGATATGCTCGTCCCCGTGACACGGAACCAGTATCTGTTATCCCAGAGGTGCCATTCCGATGATGATGATGATAATGATGATGATGACATATTGGTAGTTTCTTGAGATTTAGTTGTGCTATGTTCGGAAGATGTTGAGGATGAATCGATGGGAACAGTGATAGGAAGAATAGGAAGTCGGTTGCGCATGTATGGTTGGCGAGTCAGAAGGTATGTATTTCCATAGCCTCCATCCTCTTTTGTGATATCTGGAGTAGTTTTGGTAGAGGTAGAGGCTGAGGATAGATCGCATCGAAGAGGTTGGAACATAACGCCACCCAACGTGAAGGATTGCTGTTTTGCTATGCTGCCTTCTCCTCCCTGGAATCCTGAAGAAGGAGAGGGACAGAAAACACGTGAAGTAAAGGCCTCGAAACTCCTCAGCGGGAAATGATTCTCCGGGAACGGGGAGATGAGTTCCGTGATGCGTCGGAGGATGAGCGATGGGATATCATTCTTCTTCTGTTCTGCTGAGTTGGGTTTATCTGATAAAGGTGGTGGCGGGGGGAATCTGACTATCATGCTCCCCGTATCAGGAGCGAATGATAGAAGCTCGCATCGATCAAGCATCTCATTCGACGACTGCGTCACTGACCGCAGAAGCATATTACTCTTCCTCATTAGCGAAAGAATAGATTCTTCGCGCAGCGCACGAGGGAGTTTCCTCTCTGCGAGAAGACTCCGGATAGCGTTTCGGGGAGTCAAAGTTGGATCGAAGTTCGTTGGATCTTCGACGTAGGGGATGTTGTTTGCTTTGCATGTTGCGAGGAGGTTTTGTTTTGGGAAGGCGAGGAGGGGGCGGGCTATGGAGATGCCGCCTGTTGCTATTTTGTATTTTGTTTGTTGGTGTTGTGTAGTGTTAGATGATGATCCTGTGAGTTTGAGTTCGTTGGTATTTGTAGTCTTTATTCGATAGTCACTGTTTCCTGGCTTCAGTAACGTTATTGAGGATCCACTCTCCGCAACTCCAAACAAGCCATGGCATTCAGGAATGCGCGTCACTGCTGGAATACCCGCTAGGCCAGCGCCCCTGGCACCCGTGCAGAGGCGCCAGAGGGTCGTTTCGACGTTATCATCTTGGTGGTGGCCCATCAGGAGGGTCTCAATGCTATGTGCTCGACAGGCTTGGCCGAGGGCCTGGAAGCGGAGGCGGCGGGCGTGGGTTTCAAAAGCGGAGATGTGGTGAGATGGCCAGGTTAGGGGGAGGATTTGCGTTTGTAGGCCTGCACCTTTATTTAGTATACTCCAATTCGGTTTTGTAGATGTGACGGGTAGGGGATAGATATACCCATATCATCAAGCCAGCCGGCAACCATGTTCGCCTCGCGGGTACTTTCCTCGCGGGCTTTGTGGTCGACGACAAATGCAGTGACGGAGGTTTTCTCGTCGCTCGTTTGGGTTTGGGTTCGTTCCCATTGTTTGCAGAGGTAGGCGAGGGCCATGGAGTCTGCGCCTCCGCTTATGGCGAGACCTGGTTGGTGTTAGTTTGACATTGAAAGGATGCATGGGAGAGGGCATACCGAGTCTCCGTGGGAGATGAGAAACATGATGTCGCCCTGTTCGGGCTGTTCGTGAATCGAGCCATATGCGCTGGAAGGAGTCGATGAAGTGTTTGACGGTTAGGGGGCCGGGGTCGGTATGGCGGAGGAGGTGTGATGATGCCATGTGTTGATCTGATTCGTTGAATTAGAGGCAGGAGATGTCAAAAATGTCATTGAGTAATGATATTGGGAACTATGGATATTTAGTTCTACTATGAAGTTGAAAATGGTAGGATTGTATATAACATACGGGCAAAGGGGAAGTTTAATTAAGTGAGGACGACTGGGATGATTGCCGCCTCTGGGCTAGTATCTGCAGTGCGGTATTTGCAATGTATATTTAGATGTGCGTATACTGTTACAAAACCCAGACGAGCATGGCTGTTGAGCTATTTTAAGCGGAAAGCTCTATCTGAAGTCAGGTTGTATATTTGAAGTTATTCCGGGCGGCTTCTGTCAACCCGTAAATCGATGATCACGTGATGTTATATCGGGAAAACGAAAGCCCGGATATGTTCAAGGAGAATGCTAATAAAAATTGTTTTCTGAGCAAAACATCGTCCTTGCTTTTTGTTCGACAGCTTGAAGAAAAAGAGGGGTTTGTGAGAAAAAGTGGAGAGAAATGTCAAAGTGTAATGTAGCGAACCTGTGTCGTTGACATGTTACATACTGATATCCTACTACCCTGTTTAATGGTGAGGGAATGAGGTACAGTATATGTTTCTGCTGGATTATCATCCCAACTTAACGATCACATGGCTGGCTCTGTGTTAGTCTCACACATTGGGATTCTTGTCAGACTTGAATTTATCGATTTCCTCTGTACAATGTATATTACCTTCCCGCGTCGAGCGAGCATTGATCAAAGGAATACTGGCGGCCAGAATGAATGCCGGAGCACTACCAGCTAATGAAAGATACCGTGGATCCGTTGTCGGAACTTTGAAGAAAGAGGTCATCAATCTACCCACAAATATAGTTCTAATTGCGTTATTGTATGGAGCGATAATTTCGGCTAAGCGGTCCGGAAATGTATGCACGGCACATTCAATGGCCATTCGTGAGAATACGTTACACATCCAGGAAGCTGAGAACCCTGATTCACCAACACAAGTAATGCTTGACGATTCCCCACTAGCCACGGAGCCTAGAGTGACCGAGAATTGGGATGCCCACTGTATGGCAGCAGATGTTGGTAGAAACATCATTAAATATACATAGAAGAATTGCACAAGCGAAAATGGTTTATATTGTTTAATTATAAAGGTGCGAGGAATTACATGCAAATGCGTGTATGAGTAATATGGGCTGGTAGTAATATAATAATTGATCAATTGGTAAATTCCAAGTAAAATAGATGTTTCGAGATTTCACTCCGAAAGAGCCTCATCAACGGAGCTGTGGTGGCACCCCATTCCAACATGGTTTCGACACACTGTCGCGTTGCTGGATAATAAACAGGACCCCAGTTTCTTAACAAATGATTCTTCATAAGCGCTGAGGATCGCTGCTCCTGCGGTGTACAGCGAACAGAGCCAGCGTATAGAACACGCATACTTAGATACGCTGTTATCCAAGGTAGAACGTCTTTAGCCGAGTCGGGGAATTGTTTCATTCAACGAGCTCATATATTTAATGTTGATTGGCGTCTTCCTTTTCTGTTGTATATCTAAATCATGCTCTATAACTAAGGACATGATACCCTATAAATCAGATGGTTCGACAAAACAGTTAGAGATTCAAAAGGATATACTTTAAGCTACTGATCCTCCGAACTTCTGACTCATCTTTATCATCGATCTTGATCTTAGTCAGTCTTTAGTAGTAACCACGAAGTTTATTCCAGTCGGTATTCAACAAGCTAGACTTGTGGACACCCTTGTTACCTCGACCGTTCTTTCCTCGCTCGAGTTTGAGGGACCAGCCCAAGAACCGATACAGGTCGTTGTTCGACGCCTGGCATAGGGCCTCTTCAGAATCCCGCCATTTTTGCACATTGAGCTCTTGTCTTACGTTGCTTAGTTAAAAGCAGCTAGCTCTACTATACATAAAGTTATTCTATTATAGTATTAGATGACTGAACTTTATAGAGTAAGTAAGCGGTCAAAATAAAAGTGCACAGCCCCTAGATATTTTATTACTATAGGAGATGTCCTAATAGGGTTGAGGGCCAGCAACTTGCTTAAGAAGCTATATGGATGATGGAGCCTATTTTTAAGAAAAAGAAAGCTAGTTGATATAGGTCATAGCTCTGGTACCAATCCTGATCCAAGTGGGACTGTTCCTACGGATGCGGATGTGATTCCGCAATCCGTACCAATGGCAGCTAAGGAGTCAGCGAGGAATGGTTCCCTCGATATTGATAGTAGGTGTGTAATCTGGAATACGTGTGGATCACGGTAGGACTAGCCGGTAGCGGATATCTACATTAGGTCTACTTCGCGCTCCCAAATGCAGGTGTAGATACCACCCTCCACTGTACATTAGTTTGGTAGTCTCCCTTTAGGCTGAATCAGAGCGTATCATAGCTTGCATCTCTGACAGGGAGCCTGCGGTATCGGAGACTGGGGAGTTGTCCAAACAATAAGCAAGCGATCGCCAGATAACATCTAATCACGCCGCGGAGAAAGTTCATAACTCCGCCAGCAGAGCTTGGTCTGATGCATATGGGAATCTTCCGACACAACCCCGGCTTTTTTGGCCGCACCACCTTGGTCGTTGACAGTCTCCAGTGAAACATCGAACGTAACAGAGTGTGATACCAATTTCTACTCCTTCGCTACCCCTCTATTTGGACCGGTCTGGGCAGGATCCCTATCAATTTAGCTATGTACTCCTTTCAAAGTGCAAGTCACAGGCACGTAATCGGTAATGCGGAAATTGGATACTCAGGATATACCTGGCTCATCGGAGTAGACTAGGTACATATCAATAGGGCAATTCAGCGGAAGCGACCCGGTGGTATGTATTGATGATGGTCAGCGACGACGACAGGCAGCCCTCCATTGACTGGCCAGAGAAAGAAGGCCGCGAAATGCGCAAGTGTAGACCAATTCCCAAATCTGAATGCAGCTGGGTCTTTGCTCGCACTCGGTTCCTTGTTGTCTTATGAGCTCTTAGAGTAGAATATCTTGATGGCAATCGACGCAAGTGGCATGTATCCAGGCTAGTAATATCATGATGTAGAGTGGCTCCTACAGGGCCTAATGAGATATGGTAAGTTAACCTACGATGAAAACCGAAGATATGTATACTTGGACTTTTATTTCTCATCTAACTGCTCTCTTCGTACATTTGGACTGGATACCTATATCGGTCCGTCCGTGACACAACCATGGCTGGCGTCGCTGACCAGCGTGCAATATTTCTTCAGAGTTCCCTTCTGGTACCGGAGCGGGGGTGCGTTCCACTCCTTCCTCCTCTTCTCGAGCTCCTCAGTAGAGATATCCAGATCGACCACTCTTTCCTCAGCATCAATCACGATCCGATCACCGTCTCGAGCCAACGCGATCGGGCCGCCTTCCATGGCTTCCGGCACGATATGTCCGATCAAAAATCCGTGACTGCCACCCGAGAATCTTCCATCTGTAAGAAGAGCAACGTCCTGGCCAAGTCCAGCGCCCATAATGGCCGCGCTGGGCTTGAGCATCTCAGGCATTCCTGGGCCACCCTTGGGGCCTTCATACCGGATAATCACGACTGTTTTCTCGCCCTTCTTGATCTCACCCCGCTCAAGGGACTCAATGAATGCATCTTCGTAATCATAGCATTTAGCTATACCCTCAAACCGCAGACCCTCCTTTCCAGTAATCTTACCCACGGAACCGCCCGGGGCCAGCGATCCGCGAAGAATCTGGAGATGGCCAGATGGTTTGATAGGGTTGTTGAGGGGGCGGATGATATCCTGGTCAGCAGGAAAATCAGGCCATGAGGCTACATTTTCCTTCATTGTTTTACCGGTAACAGTAACTCCTGAGCCATCGATCAAGCCCTCCTTCAGGAGATATTTCAGGAGGGCTGGTGTGCCACCGATATTATAAAGATCATTCATAAGATACTTTCCAGATGGCTTCAAATCAGCCAGGAACGGTGTCTTATCAGATACTGCCTGGAAGTCATCAATAGTCAACTTGATACCGACAGAGTCAGCAATGGCAATCAGATGTAAAACAGCATTAGTACTGCCACCCAGCACGTTCACTACAATCATTGCATTCTCGAAGGCTTGACGTGTTAAGATATCCCTGGGTTTGATATCTTCCCTGAGCATATTTTTAACCACCTCGCCAATATTTTCGCACTCAACTAGCTTCTTGCGATCATCTGCCGGGCAACTACTACTACCAGGAATAGTCATTCCCATAGTCTCAATAGCCGTGGCCAGCGTATTAGCCGTGTACATGCCACCGCATGCACCTCTGCCGGGGCATGCATTGCGAATGATATCGAACCGCTCCTTCTCGTCGATCTGGCCGGTGATGAACTGGCCATATGACTGGAATGCACTGACCAGGTCCAATTTCTGGCCCTTTGCACTGCATCCAGGCTTGATACTGCCACCGTAGACCATGATGCTAGGTCGGTTCGTGCGTCCCATCGCTATTAATACACCTGGCATATTCTTATCACAACCCGGGAGCGACACATTCGCATCGTACCACTGGGCATTCATCACCGTCTCAATACCATCAGCGATCAGCTCCCGGCTCTGCAGGCTGTATCTCATTCCCTTTGTACCCATACTGATCCCATCCGACACTCCAACTGAGTTGAATCGCATAGGGACCAGACCCGCACGGAGCACGGAATCGCGCACAATGGCAGACAGGTCATGCAAGTGCATGTTGCATGGGTTACCCTCGAACCACACCGAGGAGATACCGACCTGTGGCTTGGACATGTCTTCCTCTGTTAGGCCGGTGGCGTAGAGCATTGCTTGCGAAGCACCCTGGGATTTGGGTTGTGTGATTTTCGAGGAAATTCGGTTGAGGGGCTCATCGGATCTATAACGGCGCCCGCTAGTGGAAGATGGAAGACGACTAGTAACAATGGTTATCAGCATCTGTCGAATTTTGAGGAGGGAAAGAGAAGCATTGGAAGGGAAGATTCTCTCGTACGTATTCTCAAACCGGGCTCGTGGGCTCAATCCCAGAGCTCTCGATCGGATACTCGACGCGAACATGATGTTCGTGGATACGTGGACGGCGTACGGGGAATGAAACAGGTTGAAGGGGAAGAAAAGGGGGGAAGAAAGAAGAAGCAGGGAAAAATAAAAACCAGCGTGTTCAAGGCGCCAACACTTCCAGAAGGCTGATTGTCGAGCAGCCGTGATTCATTTAAAGAAGGGTGCATTGGTACTTGGAGGTAAGGTACTAGTAATATCCGGAATTGCGGTCCAACTCCGGTCTCTCTCCATCATTCGCGGCATCTCGGCCCCAACTGCCCAATAACAGGTGGAGTAATGCGAAACAAATCACTTAGTTACAGCTAACTAATCCAAGACCTAAAAAACAGCCATTTTACCTTTTCTCTTTCTAATTTGGGTAACAGACTAGTATCTATTATATTTATCCCTAATATAAGTTTTATACCAGTAAATATAATTGTAACCTGTCAAAACAGGGTTCTGCCAAGTAGACCAAGATGGTATACAAAACGATATATCATGGCCACCAAGCAGCAGGGGTGACTCAACATAACCCTATACGTTCCTCCTTACTTATAATAGGAGAGATACCGATGGAGGAGGCTTACGTGCCTTAAAGGCAATGTGATTCTCGTACCCTGTCGACCCGATTATTTTGATACAGACGGACCTCATCACAAACTGCGTTTCAACTTTCGATTGAGGTCTGTATCTCGATACATATGTCGAAGGAGAGCTGCGCCCGGATATAAGTTCCAGGGAAACATCCAGTTGATTACACCCATTGATTACCGACTATATATTCAGCTTTATGACGGGAAATACCAGATTAATTGTTTGCTATATTTTACTAGGACACACTTAATTCACGACAAAGAATCTATAATCCCAGCGTGGTTTGGGCGCCCCTGTATCCTTGGAAAGGTACGTATATCCCACTCCCACACGGACAGAGACTCCATCCTGTGTGGCCATACCTAAGAATACCATGACTGTTCGCGGCGAACCCATGATAGTGTTCGTACACAAGATAATCACCAGCTCGGTCACCGGTACGACAGTGTTGCCATCATATTTGAACTGCCCTGCATGAACTCCAGACACGACTAAGGGCTGAGTCCGCTCCGTGACGGCGTCAGCGATGTCAAAGTCACTAGAGCCCAAGTATGCACCAATAAAGCCCAGTTGGCCACACCCAAGACTGGCCAGAACTGAATTAAGAGATTTGTCTAGAAGTCTTTTTACTTGAATTCCGACGACGTCGTTGAGAAACTTTCGCGTGGTCCGATATTCATTGAGCTTGTGCTTTTCTTTGTGGTTTCGGACATTCTCTGCAGCCTGCCACAGACGGTGCGACCAGACGCTACTGCTCGCACCACCAAAGTGCCATTGGACAACTGCTGTGTGCAAGGGGTAATTTTTTCGAGGAGCGTGCGAGATGCTCCTCGACAACCAAAGGCTTTCCGCGAAAATGAATTCTATAGGACCAATCCATGAGGCCCTGCCACTTGTTAGCCACAACCATCTATATAAGGATATCTGCCTACCAGGACCAGGTGGAGAATCTCTCCGCTGAGTCGCGTTGCTGGCATGTGTCGGATGGAAACCACAGTAATGCCTGCGCCGTGAGATGGGGCGGGATGCCTTGAGCTTGGCGAATATTTAGGTCACCGGAACCCTCCTGCATCTGCTGGAACCGGTTGAAGATCCCCTCAAAGGCATTGAGTATGTCTTCAGGATGTCTCAGGTGTCTTCGGCTATACTCTTGAACAGCTTGTTGGTAGCTTTCAGCGTCCAATCCATTGTGTGGATCGCCAAGGTAATGATAAGGGGTAGGGTCCGGATCTTTCCTGAGCCTATTACTCCACCATGGAGGCCCAGTGCGAATCTGAATTCGTGCTTCTGATGCGCTTCCGTCCTCGTAGTCATACCCCTCTCTCCATTGAGCCTCTGGACACTGGAAAAAGGTCTCGTTCATTGTCAAGTACAGGCAGCGCTGTGACAGACTTTGTTCCTGGAATGTCCATCCACGAGTGTTCCACATACCCTTCCGCACTTCATGACACAAAGATGGCAGAGAAAGGGACAAGGCCAGGACCTGCCCATTTGTTTCGTCCGGTATACTGTATGACTCAATCGGAAAACCTGCCCGTGGACTGATGCCTGGCAAACCTGCATCTGGACTATCACCCGCTGAGGCCATGATCGTGATGGTTGCATTATCATAGATGTCGTCCATGTGGCTGATTAGCCGCGACTTGTCTTGCTCATCATCCTGCACAATGCACAGCGTATCTACCCAGAAATATCGAATACCAATCTTGCGAGCTAGCTCCATGGCGTCGGAAACTGTACGAGGAATCTTCCCCAGCTTACGGCCTGATTCCGAAAGGGCATGTGGACGACACAGCAGTGACAAGTTATGTTGAGTGGCGACTAGAATCTGGCTTCCATTTTCGTGGCCAGGATCCAGGATGGTGGGGGAGTTACCCCAGACATAGGATAATGCCACATAATCACACCTCTCCATCTGAAGTGTCACGCATTCTCGTGTCACATCGATCAACCGGAAAGGGTGGCCATCAAATGGTCCAGTGCCGATCTTGGGTGTTCTGGCCGAGTGCTTGTGTGTTCTGCATCGTAACAGCCAGTCTTGTATCAGAGGAATATTTAATTGGGGTAGAATACTCCGTCTTCGGATGAACTCCCTCTTGCTATCATTCAGGGGGCTGCTGGGTACTTGTTCAATCTCGGCCAGAATGTACCTGTTGCGCTTCACCCGATCAATCTCGCGAAGTGGCCGGCGATTCTGCTGATGATCCGTCTTATGGTCGACTGCAAGCAGTAATCGCGGACTAGGGTATTCCGTGTATTCATTAATTTTCACAGACATCGGACTCCGGCTCTGGATGAAGAGGCGAGGGGATGGTTTGGTGGTGGTCAGGTCCCATCCATCAGCTGAGGCGAGCTTTTTTGCGCTAGCAATAAGGTCACAGAATGGGCATGTTGGGCTGCGGTAGTGGGTGATTGAGCTCATTGATCGCTCTTTGACCTCATTCGCAAGCATTCTTCTTAGTTCGAGCTGACTGCATTTTGTGCATAGCTTCTTGGGTGAAGGCGGTTGACTCATTACACAGAGGCTGCACTGCGGCAGAGGCAGGGTCTCAAGTTGAGGAAGACGGTGTTGAGCCTGCCACGTCCTGGCTTATTAGACCATGAGAGACGAAGACCGTCTCCACTTGCGAACGGCGTCAATTTGGGCCACGGACTCGTGCGGCTGAGTGCGGCTGAGTGCTGCTGGAACCCCTGGCTCGCCCTATTTCCAGGTAATGATCAACATCCGCAGCAGCGAATTTTGATGGCAAAGTGATCAGTCCAACCCCCAAGAAACAGCAATATTTGTTCTGAGATGTACAGGAAGTTGTAAAAATTGGGCATGGTACTTGCAGCTCCGCGCGTCGCTCATAAAGGTGTCTTGAGCACCCTTCAAACCAACGATAGTAAACATTTGTCGTGGGACTTCCATCTAATACCTCAATTTCCGCCAAGCAGTATAATGTTACGCATCTTCAAGATTATCTCGCGAAAGCCGGCAAGCCGGGATCAAGAGAACTCTCCACCTGCCACTCCAACCACTCCTTCGCGCTTCTTATCCCACCTGTCAAAGCACCCGGACAAGCCCACACGTCAGCTACTCCAACCTTATCTGGAATATGAAACATGGCTGCGGAAGATATTCACAACGCCAAGCTTCAGCATCGGTGGCACCGGAGATTTGGTGTCAGTCTATGGTTGGCGTCAGTGCTCAATTAGGATTCGTACCACTGATCGCAACGAGACCACTATGGCCCGTTATATCATGCCACTCAAAGACGAGCAGCGGCTACCGGAAGGTGCCCCTGCAATTGCAGCTTCATTTGCAGAGTTTCAATATCAGTTTGAAGCCTTCACCCACGGTAAGGTCCTTGGCCAGACGGCTGACCGTATTAATTTAGCTGACCAACATACATGGATAAAAAGGCGTTCTCAAAGGGATAGTTAAGAACAGGGTGCATTGGACGCACCTGAAATTCATTCGGAGACAGTGAACATGCTAACTGACATCGCAAGACTGGTCGAATCTTGTGGTTGCTGGATCAGCTGCGCTCATACCCTTGCTCCCCATCCGTGAAGACGTTTCACCCACAGTGTCTGCTGCAGTTGAAAGACCGGAGGAGTACTATTACGAGTGAGTTATTCTGGATCCATTGACAAAGTTTGCCCTTAACATCGGAACCTCGCAGGACGATTGCAGACGCCAGTGATATCGATATCTTTTTGTATGGCATCGATAATGAAGAAGTGGCAATTGAGCGCATACAGCAGTTGAGGAAGCCGTAGTTCGGAAGAATCAGCGACTTGATCCTGGCGAAGCTCTCTGTCTGCGTATCAAGAACACCGTGACGTTTATTGCCCCGAGATGGCCGTTTCGTCATATCCAGGTGAGTGAAATGATCTGTCTAGGTGGGTGTTGGCTCATCGGTTCTTGCCCTTGCGCCAATTTTAGGTGGTCTTACGGCTCTATCGATGGGAATCCTTGGACCGATCCCGCATTAACATGGACTTATTCGAAAAACTTCGTGAACATCGTGATCTTCATCCAAAAAATGTTAAGGGACTCGCCCGGCTAATCTTGGCAGAAATTGTGGTCAGCGGCCGGCGTCCATACACAGATTCTTTGACGAGTCGGGCACTGAAGAAGCTCGGCGATGCTCAGGACCCCGAATTTACTGGCCCCACTGTTTACACGAGCGTAGAGATTCCATACACCAAGCGGTTTACAGCAGATAGGTGCGCATTGTGTTGTCGATTCGCTGATTGCCGCGCTGACGATCGAGTCAATCAGGGTTCGCCAATTTGTGGCTCGCCATTCTAGCATTCCATTTCTATTCGGCACATTGAACGAAATTCTTAAGGGATCCGGGTCAGCAAAACCAGAAGAAAAGGAATTGCCCGGAAGACTTGGTTTCATGAAGGACAACCCTGGGCGACAGATGATTGGAAGCTTCTATCCGCTCGACGAACAAGGCTGGTAGGGTACTCCTCTGTATATGAGTCATATGGCATGATTGACAGTTTCTGCACAGGGCTGAGGCTGCGTATGAGGTTATAGATCACTTGTCTGATTGTGAAGAGCTCTCATCAGGAAGTGAAGGAACAGAGTACCGGAGGAGTGAGGAGGAGGACAGTGAGGAGGAGGACAGTGAGGAGGAGGACAGTGAGGAGGAGGACAGTGAGGAGGAGGACAGTGAGGAGGAGGACAGTGAGGAGCAGGAAATTGAAAAGGAGGATAATGAAGAAGAGGACAGTGAGGAGCAGGAAATTGAAGAGGAGGACAGTGAAGAAGAGGATAGTGAGAAGCAGGACAGCAAGGGACCAGAAAATAGGGAGGTCACGGACTCATCAGTAGTAGAGCATAGTAACAACACTGATGTCCACAGGAGGGAGCAGTGAAATGGGTGCAGAAGCGAGCAGAGAGAATTGGAGTATACTAGTTAGTACTACACTTCTGAAACCCATGGCTACGATATGACCATTGAATCCAAGCACACCTTGGGCTATGATCAATGACATGGCAACTAATCCAGAATTTATATATTTACGTCTGAACAAACTGAACAATTGCTGGCGAAGAGTTTGAAGGTTAGGCAATATATTGAATATAATCTAGTGGTATTCATCTTTGATGTGTTCATCAAACTTGAAGGCCTCCCCAGCCGTGCTTTCTCCAGGTATCAGAGGGCACTTAGATTAGGTACCAGCGGCATCGCTACCTACTATAGAGGGGGTCGTTTATTCTAACACCAACACTTAATACTTGACATGTTCAGCTACATCGGAAACTATCTACTTGAAAGACACAACGCTCCCGGAGTTGACATTCATCGAGATCATGATTTCATAACGGGCGTCTTGTATAATTCGAACAGTTTGGCACGGCTAAGATTGTAGGGGTTCGAATTATGGTCTACACCAATCCACAGAGCTTCGATGCTGGGCTTGAGAAGGAATGGGGGTGGCCGTTGCTGGCATAGTCCAGTTGGCATCCACCGAGAATGCTGAAGTCCACTGTGGAGTATTACGATTCATGAGTGTGTGTGTGTGTGCTTCATCAATGATAATTATACCAAATATGCCGCGCCGAGATCCCCCGGCTAGGGTTTGCTGTGTAATCTCCTCCTACATAGCCCGGGGTGTCAGCTCGAGCC